ATACTGAAAAGAACAAATAAAACGATTCGTTTTTTTTCTTGTTCGAATGTTTGAAAAAATAAGAATATGCTAGCAATGCCGTCTAGTGTTTGAATTTAATAGCCTGCAATTGTTTCACGTTCTGAAATGTAGATGGAGACATATACACTTTGTGTGTGAAATGTGAAATGGCGCGATATATTAAATTTCATTTCTTTCAATTTACTCCAATTTGAATTTCGATGATTTATTGAAGATTAAAAAAATAAATATCATGATGACCTGATCATTTTCTCTAGTAGTGATGACATATGTTGACCATACATGTCATCCACACATATAATAATAATCTATTTCTGGACGAATTAAAAAAAAAATCAAATCAAAATTCTCATCGATAAAGATCAATATTTTTTAAAATATAGAAAAAAAATTAAATATGAAAAGAAAAAAACTCTTCTTCATTTTTCTCTTAATCCAATTTCAACATCAACAATCTGATTAGATGTTTATGTATGACCAAAAAAAAAAAAAAAATCTATTAACCACATTTGACACCGGACAACATGCAACAAGTTTTTTCATCGTCGTCGTCGTCGTCGTCGCCGTTGTTGTTGTTGTTAATCAAAAATATAAATATTCCATTGATCATTTTCAATGATAAAAATTTGTTGCAAAATTAATCAAGCAATTATGTTATCATCATCATCATGATCATCATTGAATCAATTTAAACATTTAGATTCTGAAAAAAAACTGTTACTCATTATTCATGTCTGAAAATGAAATTTTGAAAATTTTTTTTTATTATTAGATTACTATCATGATGATGATCATTATTATTTATTTCACTCAGTATTGAAAAAAAATGTCTAGAACAACAACAACAAAAAATGTTCAAATCAATATCTGCTGTCTAATTAAATGATTTTCATTTCATCATTTGGAATATATAGCACACACACACACACACAGGATAAATACATTTCCAGATTTGTATTTAAGTAAATTTAATATTCAATTAAAATGATAAACATCTCTCTCTCTCTCTCTCTTCTCTTTACGCTATTAATACGGTTCTGCTCATTTTGTTTGTTTGTTACTTTAAATTTATCGCTGACCAGAAAAAATGATTGAAATTTTTTTTTTTTTTTTTTTTTTTTGGTGACTAACTTGATAAAGTTTTTTTTTCTAGTGGTTGTTGAGGAAAAAAAGGTTAATTGAAAAATTTATGATCTAATTTACTATTTTGAAAAAAAATTTTAAAGTTTTTTTTTCAAATGTTCAAATAAAAAGAGAAAGAAAAAAGGATTGAATTACGCACACACACACACACACATGTGGAATTATCCGCTTATCAATTAAGTATTATTATTACTAATAAAATGAACAATTTGCGAAACTTTCAATAACAGAGCAACAGGGGTGATGTATTTGGAAAAGTTTTAGTGATCGATAATAATCAATAAAATGATTTCTGGCTATCATCTGGTTCATGTTGACCTATGTGACATTATAATATAATGTATTAGCAGTAATAGTAGACAAACCCCGAATATAAATTGTTGATGATGGGTCATAGTATTTAAAATGATATAATCACTGGACATCAACATATAATCATATTATATTTATTTATTTATTTTTCCATTTCGCTAGTAGGCCGTACTTATTAATCCGAATGTTCGGCCTTTTTTTTCGTATTTTCTTCATTGACAACAACAACAAAACAACTCTCTTTACTGTTTGTTTGTGTGTTTTTTGTTGAATTTTGTATACAAATGATTGCTGTGTGTGTGTGTGTGTTCTTCTTTTTCTCTTTTCAGGTAAATAAAATTTCAAGTATAATTAATAATAACAAAATTATATCATCCATCAAAATATCGCTGTGTGTGGACAAAAAAAAAAACACACACACACACATCGACAATATATGTGAATCTTCAGTTAGACAGGCATGCAGATACCATATTGTAACTAGGTGTGCATATCAAACCAATTTCATATTTTACAATTAATATAAATCGCTTTTCGCATTCGTCACTTATTCTTGATGATGATCATCATTACATGGATTCATTAATATCGACAACGAAAAAATTATCGTCATCATCATCATCGAAAACAACGACGGATAAGGATATTGATCAAAAACAAAAAATTTATTGCTCAAAGGAAACAATGAAAATTTCTAAATCTGAATCATGGCTTGAAAATGATTTACATTCCAATCATATTATGGATCTTATGATGCCATTTTTATTTTCCAATAATCCACAACATCACGATCATCACCATCATCATCATTTAAATAATTCTCTACCTACACCATCGATTAGTTCTCATTCACATCGAACAACAACCAATTTCAGTATTGAATCCATTTTAAATTGGACAAAATCAAATGAAGAAAATCAAAAATCTGAATCACATCGATCTCAATTGTCAAATAATCATCATAATTTATATAATAATCAATCAAAATTGCTCAATGATAATGGAAATGTTGATTTGAATGAACCTTTGTATAATTTTTTCCGATATTATTCTGTTGCAGAAAAAAGTGAGTTTTGATCAAATTTTGAAACAATAATCATTTTTCAAATATTTTTTTTCCCCCATTGAAAAACAAAGATGAAAAACATTTAAAACCTGTCGATTTTACTATGGAAGCAAAATCAACAACATCAGAACCGATAATATCTGACAATTCTGGTGGTGGTGGTGGTGGTGGAAAAATTTCATTCACAGCATCTACATCATCATCATCGTTGATGAAACGACGACCAATAAATCGTGGACCACGTATTCCATTCACACCGAATCAGGTCCAAGAATTGGAGAATAAATTCAGCAAAACACAATATTTAAGTAGTATGGAAGTGAATCAATTGGCTAAACATCTTAATCTAAGCGATACAAGAGTAAGTTGAAATTTTTTGTTTCTTTCATCTTCTGAATGTATATTTGTCACATCGATTCTATAATTAGTTCGTATACTCACTGTAAACACACAGGTATAATAAATTAGCTTTGATGTGTTCCACATTATGAAATTAGTCTTAATTACTCGAAAATTGAGATTATTATTAAATTGTTTTCATCATTTGTGTGTGTGTGTGTGTGTGTGTGTGTTTGTGTCATATATCGTTTTTTTCCCATGATTAGTTATGCGTCCATTTTTTTTCTTGTCCAAGTTTTCGATTTTAGTATTAGTATATCAAATCGGCTGAAAAAACAGACAGACAAACAAGATTCTGTCGAATTGACCGTCGATGACAATTGAATTAATTTAATGCCATAATCCAGTGTTTTTTATCCGCGAATAATAAAAAACGAAATGTGAACAATGTGTACATTTTCATCAATCCCGTTCATCATCATCATCATCATTATAATAATAATGGTTAATTAAAGATTGGGATTTTCTTTTTTTTTTGTTCTGACCAATCATTAATTCAATGATAATTATCGTTGTATGTTTTCGTCAATATATACAAAAGAGGATTATGTGTATGAAAAAAAAATTGGCTACAAATTAACCTTGTCCATTTGTCGTCGGTTGCGGCTTTTTTTTCTATTTGCTGGTCATATGGCTGATTAGTTTTTTTCTGTATTTTCGCATTCAAACAAACAAAATAAAGTTATCAAAATTGTCCACTGTCGATAACAAATGATTTTTAAATTTGATAAAAAAAAAATAAAATAAACTTTTAGTAAGTTGCAATGTTTGTTTTTTTCTCTAGTCGCAAATAAAGTGAGATAAATCAACCATCATTTAATCCTTTAATGAACCAAAATGGTAGAAAAAAAACGAAAGCAAAAGCAGCCGACAAGCAGCAATATTTTTACTGGGCCGGTTTTTTTTTGTTTGTTTGTTTGTTGATCTTCAATGTCAATTATATTACAATTATTTTTTTTGTAATGATCGATTACAAATAATAGACACGCACACACAATACGGGATAATTTTTTTTTATCTGGTTCATTTTTTTTGGTTGCTATCGAAATATTGCTTTGGTCCGGTAGTCAATGTGCGTTTCATGTGTTGACAATAAGTCTTTCTCGTTCTCTTTGACTGTCTGTCTGTGGCCACATTATTGGTGAAAATAATAATAATCGATTTACATGATATTGATTACTGAACTTATTGTTATTATTATCAAAAAAAAAAAAAAATTGGAATTCAACATGAACAAAAAAAAATGCTAGACAATAGAGGTAGTATATACAGAGTTTAATAATTGATGATTGTCAAATGAAAAAAAACATATAGATCCGGATCGGATGATGATTATTCAATTTCAATAGCCTCGGCAACCAAAACAGTAGTGTTGTATTTGTTGTACCTTTGACTATGGTTTTTTTTTTTTTCATTTGTGATTGACATTAATACATCGGATCACCCGAACGGTATAGGGTCGGTAGCCGTCAATCATCTGGTTTGCAATACAAACCACAATAACAACAACAACAACAACAACAACGAAAAATTGATTTGATCTGATCCATTTTTTTTCCTCGTGGATTGATGATAAGAGTCGTTTGTCTTTCTTTGTTTGCCCGCTCTCTTTTTTTCATCATATCTCCCAAACAACTAATCACAAAGAAAAATACAAAGATTTTTCGATAAATTAAATTGAATTTTTTTTTTCATTTCGATTCAAAAAATATGTCTTTTTTCTGCATCATATGAATGAATATCGATTTTCATTTTTCATTTTTCATTTTATTATGTCATTTGTATTGGTTTGTTTAAATGAGGTGAATGGAAATGAAATTAAAATTCATCAATATTGATGTGATTGATTTCATTGAACATTTGTATTATGTTCAATTCAATTATTATTATTTTCTTGCCCATTTATCATCATCATTACCATCATCATCGCCACCAGTACCATGACCATGATCATTATGTTCATCATTATTATCATATCCATGTTCATCATCTTCATTTCCATGATGATGATGATGATGTGGATGATTATGATGATGATGAGAATGTTCATCTTCATCACCTTCTCCATGTCCATGTCCATGACCATGATTATGTTGATACGGATTAGCTCTTACATGATGATGATATCCTTGAGGACCATTTCCATAAGAACCATAATGACGAGGTGTAAATAGACCACGTAAATATCGAGCATATCTTCTTATTCCTATTTTATATTACAATCAAAAGGAAAAAAATGATAGGATTTTAAAACCAAAAAAAATCATTCAAAAATCACAATTACCACTATCACCATATGGATATGGATAATTAGCGTTGACCATCATAACGATAGTGGCCATTATTAATGTTGTTAATAAAAAGAATGATGAAATATTCATATTTTCACGCAATTTTTTTTTGGGAGGCAAAAACAAACAAAAATCTCGATCAGATCAATATCAAACGGATTGAATCAGTTTTTATACTCCATAGGTTTGTTTGTGATTGAGAAATTAAAATTTTTCATCGAAAAATAGAAAATAATTTTATCTGTTGAAAAAAAACGAAATCTAAATCTGTCAATCAATCAATCAGTAAATCATTGATATTCGAAATATTTGTTTTTGGTTGACATTGAAATATTACGACATTTAAATATTTTTGTGTGTTTGTACAAATGATATTTGTCATCATTCAACTTTTCACCTGAATAAATGAATGAAAAAAATTGTTCCATGACATTGATCATGAGCCCATTTTTTTTTTTGATTTTATTTTGGTTGTTCATGTTCTATTTTATTCTTTTTCTTGTTCCAAAATGGAAATCATTGAAAATTCTTTCTAAAAAATAATTTTACCAAGATGACAACAAATTCTATCAACTAAACAAAACTTCACACACTGTAAACATTGTTGACATTTTAAAAATGATTAATTAATTAAGAAATCTATCTTTTTCTTAAATCTAAATTTTTTTTTCAAAATGAAAATCAGAAGCCAAACAATTTATCTATTTATCTAACTACTGGTTTTGTTTTTTTGTTTTGATGATGAAAGATGAATGACTTTTAGATGATGATGGAATTGTATGAAAAATAGAAGATTGATTAATTTGCAGACAAGTACTCTCTCCATATTTAATGTGATTATAGTAGAATAATGATGATGATGATGATGATCATTACAGATTTTTAATTCATCTGATCACATCACCAGTGTGTGTGTTGATAAATCATTTTTTTGCTTTATAAAAGGTGATTATGGGCCATGCCTATAGGTTTGTCCAATATATGTACGTGTGTCCAGCAATGTGTGTGTGTGTGTGTGTTCTTTATTATCATGGTCAAGATTGAATGAATGTCATCGTTGTCGTCGACGATTTTTTTTCTTTCTTTCTTCGTTCGTAATCGATAAGATAAAAACAAACGAAACACAAACACACACAAACAACCAAAAATTTTCATTGGAGGAAGTTCATAATATTTAACAGAAAAAAATAATGTTGGATGATCATCATCATCATCATTATCATCTAACATCAACTTTGAATTCGTTGTCGGTTATCGGTGACACTAAAATAATCCATCATCACAATTATCGCGTCAATCATAATTGTCATATTTTTCTTTTGCTTCATCGTTGTTGTTGTTGTTGTTTGAATGGTAGCAACCACACACTGAATACCTGGCCTTTATTCAATTCAATTTTTATGCTATGCAATAAGGACTTTTCAATTGTGTCAGACAATTTTTTTCAAATTCAAATTTCAAAAAAAAAATTCGATATGAATCTCGTATTCGAATGTCAGGCTATAGTCAAAACATAATTTGGTCAAATCAATCATAAATTAATCCCACACACGAACTCGTGAATAAATATATCGAATTGAAAGTTTCTGAATCATGAAATATTTGAATGTATTTGAACAGATTATCAAAATAAAATAAAGGATAAAGGATTTGGATTGGATTCAAACTCATTTTTAATTGACAATTAAATGATGATTAAATCATGGATACCAACAAACACACACACACACACACACAAAGACCTTGGTCACAATGAATGAAAAAATTGTTTTCCATGAAATTAAAAATCATTAATTTTGTTGTCATTGTGGTTAACAGGTGGCGATAGCTTTTCATAGAAGAATTGGTCATATCAGATTTCTTTTTTCTCTCTTTTACAGAAAAAGAATGATGATGGTAATGAAATTTAGCCATGAGAGACAGTGTCAAATACTTATTTACAAGGATGATTTGGATCATTCAAATCATTTATTTGATCATGGATACCAACAAAACAACACACACACACAAAATAAAATGAAAATTATTTCTTATGTTGTCATTGTGGTTAACACGAATGGAAAAGATTTTTTTTTTCTCTCTTTTACAAAAAAATGATGATTATCAAGTGTCAAATACTTATTTACAATGATCATTCATCATTTATTGTCATAAAATAAACGAGATTTATTTCTTATCTACGAATGGAAAAGCAACAACAAAAAAAAAAATTATCAATATTTCTATCTATTTATTCATTTTATTTTTTTTAGGTAAGAATTTGGTTTCAAAATCGTCGAGCCAGAGAAAAACGTGAACAACATCAACATCAACATCAACAACATCAAAATGGTCACCATCAACTAGATAATAATCATCATCGATCGGAAAATATTGATTTTAATAATGACAAAATCAAATATAATGATCCTATTTCATGTGAATCGTCACCAATACGAATATCAAATTTTGATGGAAACGAAGATGATGATGATGATGATCCAACCTGTTGTACTTTGTACACAATGATTGATGATGATAATCATTCATCGACATCCGTATCATCTACTTCTGATCCTAATCTAATTGATAAAGATTTACCATCATCATCATCATCATCATCATCGTCATTACAATGATCATAAATTTTTTCTTTTGTTTCAATAGCGAATTTTTATTTTTATTTTCCCTTTAATTCCAATCAAATTTGATATACAATATGAAATATTATTTATCATTTTTTTTGTAAGATTAATTATTTCGAAAATTGAATTAATTTAATTTTTATCCCCTGCACTCAATAATTTATTGTTTTCAACGTTTCTTCAACGATTTTATGTGGATCTTCTTCTACGTGTTGATTTTTGATTTTCGATTGCGGTACTTCATATACACCATGATTAAATAATGGATGTGTAGGATAAGATGGTGGTTCCGTTGTTGGCCGATATGGTGGTCGTGGCCATGGTCTTTTGTTTTTATGTGATGGTGGTTCAACCATATCAGGTCGTGTTGAACGTAATGGCATTACGTTGGCAGAAAATTCACCTTTTACATTACCAGGTGGCCAAAAATTGGCAACTATCAAAGTTTTATAATTCTGTGGTGTTTCAAATTCAATTTTCACACAGGTCGCTTCACGTGATCCACGCCATACTAGTTGTGTGAAACCACCGGTTCGTGCTGAGAATCTTGGTTCACTATAATCATAATGACGTTCCTCATCATACCAAGTGTTGATTGCTTCTTCAACCGCACGATAACGTTTAGGATCTAAACATCATCAACAGTAACAAATGTTTGAATTGATAATCAAATGATTAAATTTCAATATTTACCATAATACCAGAAAAAACTCTCGCCAAATGCATATGGACCTTTAACGATTTCTCGTTTTCCTTCGGCAATATCACTTAAAATGCTCCAAGCACGATCAATTGTATATTGTGTAAACTATTAATAAGAATTCGATTCATTTTAAATTTTTGCCAATAATATTTGTAACTTACATTATCACCCAACACTAATGGTGGAGTATTTTCATGCCACAAACGTTTACGATTCATTGCATCTAAACATCTGTATTGAAAATCGGCATCATATAATATTCGTATATTACGTCCTAAGAATGAAAAATTGAATTAAATCGATTCATATCAAATGTAATTAAATGCATCACTTACTGTGTTTGTATGGACCCATAAAACGATCTAGCAAAGTGGCTTGTTCCGCTGTGATAACTACTTGTGGCACTTGATCACCACTTGGTTGTGGTGGTGCTTGAATCGATACTGCTGGTGCTGATTGAGCTGGTATTGATTGAATTTCTGGTACCGATAATGATGGCGATGCTGATGTTGATGGCGATGATACCGGAACCGTTGGTGTTGAAGATGTTGGTAATCGTGTTGGCAAAACAATCGTAGTCGTTGAGACCGATGGTATTGGACGAACACGATTCAGAACTGAAGAATTTGCCGGTATCGATGGTAATGGATTCGGTTTTTTTGCCGACACAACGGCGACCAAAATTGTTGCCAACGAAATCGATATTTTTATCGAAGTCATCTTTAAGCTATATTTTGTCGAGATCATAATACATTAATGGATTCTATTCCACAAATATCTCATGTTTTTATACTGAAAACCTCTTGCAAAGTACAAAGAACTTGAAGTTCAACTTTCGGTGTAAGAAAAAAAAGTGCACTTAAAAATTCAAGTGAAAATGATTATAATACTGGTTTTAGATGTCTATGGAATTCATCCGAGTTTTAAAAAAAACAGGAAAAACCGTCATTCCATTAATCAAGTTTTTTTTGTAGTCTTCATTTAAATTGGATTCCATAATTCTCATTAATTGATGAATACCATATCATTACGGCAAAAAAAAAAAAAATAAAAACAAATCAAAGGGTTAAAAAACCAATTTATCTAATCAAGGACATGACCTTTGATCTTTTTTTTTGTTTTTGGTTCCAAATTATACAATGTACAAGGTTCGTCGATCTCGTCAACCAAAAAAAAAGACGGAAAAAAACTAGCCAGAACCTCATCGATTAATTTTTTTTTTCATCGAAATATTAAATACCGCATCAGATAGAAAAAAAAGTGAAACGACAATTTATCTTTCAAATTTTCTTCATTTGAAATTGAAAAACTTGTTTTCAAAAATCGTTATCGTTTTTTTTTAAAAAAAAATTCTTCAAATGACCAGTTCTTTATTTCGTCGTTTTCGAAAAATAAAATTGAAAAAAATCATAATTCATTTCAAAAGAAGAAAGAAGAAAAAAAATTACTATGTAAAAAAAAGGAAACCCCGATCCCGGAAAAATTGTTTGGAAAAAAAATTTTTTTTTGTTTTGTTTTTGATAAAAAAACCGTTTCATGTTTACATTTTGCATGGATTTTGTCGATAAGCCAAATAGAATCCTTTAGCATTGTTAACACTATTCGATACGAATCGTAATTGAAATGGTCCTGGTGTTGAATCCGTTGTCATCAAATAATTTTGATGTAAACGTTTAAGAGAATCTTTACGAAGAATCATTGGTGATGACATCATCCAACGATAACGTCGTGTAAGTACGTCTTTAAATAATTCTACCTGACGATGATGTCGACGAAGTTCTTCCACTTCACCGGATAAATCTGAACCTAAATGTTCCAATAGATCACCATTACGATTATCATGTCCATTTTTACGATTTGGCCGATTTTCACTTATATTTCCTGGTGTTATTAAATCTTCTAACGATGATAATGATGATGATGGTTCCGTTGGTTCAATATTTTCTTTGGCTGAATTATTTGATTGATCATCAAGGGAATCGACAATTTTTGTACAAACTTTTGTTCCGCTTACAATCAGATAATCATCATCACATTGTGTTGTTTGTACTGTTGAATACATTTTTCCTGTTGTCCATCGTCCATAATCATCAGTTTGATGTAATCCAATACGTTTACTAAATTGATTTGATGATAAACCAACAGAGAATGGAAACACGGCACCACTTGGATCAGACATAAATTCATAGGAAATGGAACAGAATCCTGTTTCTTTTCTTATACAAATCATATAATCAACATTGTTTGGATAACCTTCATTTAGAACATTGGATAAATCATTACGATTAGCCAACTCATCAGAATCATAATTAAAACTTTTGATTGTTCCCTGTGTTCCTTCATAGTATTGTAAACAATGTGCTGGAGCTGAAAAAAAAAAAAAACATTTTGAGTTCTGTTAATTCACCATCATTTTAAATATATTACCACTTTTTCGTGATCCACAATCAATTTGTTCAATGTGAATATCGAATTTTCGTGGATAATCACCACGGAAAACCATATGCAATGTAACCATACCGGATTCATCAACACCAATGTAATCTTTAATTGAAAATGAATAAAAAAAAATTCATTAGAAAGTTAATATCATGTGCATATATGCAACACTTACAATGCTGTCCATTATTATGACCACAAATACGTGGAACAATATTGTTTTCATTCTGGCCAGATATTAAGAATGAATCCTGTGTGCAATTTCCTTCAATTGGTTTGGCAATATCAAATTGATCGAATGTTAATTTCAATTGACAAACAGTGTTTGATGAATCAAGTTTTTGGATCTTAGCACGACAAATTCTTTGGCCATCATATGAATAAGGAAAATTTGGATTACGAAAATAAACATGACGTTCACGTATTGTTTGCGAACAGGTCACTTCGAATAGGCAACAAACATGACCATTTTTCGAACCACCACAACGACCCATCGGTATTCCACCTCTTTCAGCACATATGGATGCTTCATAACAAGTTCCTTGTCGTTGATCAGGTGCCATACAACCGTGGCCAATTTCATCCATATAATCATCATCATCTTCTATTTCATTTTTATTGTTATTTAAAATTGTAAAGAATTTTTGTTGATGATGATGTTCACGATTATCTGATACAGATGATGATGATGATGATGATGATGATGGTGCTGATGATAAATGAACATTACTATTATCAGGAAATAATTTTCCAACATTATGTTGATATGGATGAATATCCGATGATTCTTGAAATGAACGACGATTTACGTCAAATCCATTTCCATTTGGATTATATACTGGTTTTGGACGATCCTTATAAATTTGTTCTATAGTGACGGAGAAAACAAAAAACATTAATATTTATCAATTATATCGAATTTTTTTTTTCAAACCTGTATCAAGTAAACGTGTACGATGTGATGCAAAACGATTGGCTAGAATTAAATTTGGTCGACATTGGCAAGCCAAAATAAGTAATAGCCAATTGTATGCTTTAAGTATCATTATCCAAGATGAAACTTGCATTTTTATTTCTTGTTTGTTTGTTTGTTGAATTAAATTTTATGGAGAAAAAAAAGATTGTCACCATTCACTTTACACAAATGAATTTGTTGTTCAAATTACAAAAAAAAAAAAAAAAAAAATTCCCTATGAATCAATTGTTGTTGTGTTCGTGTTATATGATTTGTACGAATTATGATGATAATGCAGAGATGCAGTACCTCTTGCTCTCTCTCATTCTCTTACAATGAAGTAAAAAAAAAAGGAAATTTGAATCAGAGAAACAAAAAATAAAGCCTGGTCGACAATCAATTGCGGCTACAATGATTATGATGATGATGATGATGAAAAAATGGACGTGTGCGGTATATTAATATTCACCAGACACCATCAACCAACAACCAACCTACCAACGACGACGACGACCAAATTGAACAAATCATTCACCGACACCGAAAATGTTCTAACTATTCTTCTATTTGTTTCTGTTTCTGTTTTTTTTTGTCTTTACGGTCAATTATATTTATGTACGAGAAAAAAAATTTGTCGTTTTTTTCTGGTTTTGTTGGGTAGTTTTAGGTATGGTGTGTGTGTGTGTGTTTGTATTCAAACACAAGCTTGTACAGGATAAAATAGACAAACAAAAAACTAAATTTCAGTGGACATAAACGATAAATCAAATCACTGATAAAATGATAATATCAATAGTGAGTGTGTGTGTGTTCGAAGAATCAATAATTATTTCTTGATACATACACACACACGTTTACAGAACAACAAAAAGGCGTATCAATATCGATGGACAAAATGATCATTCACCCTAGTATATTAACACCTGTGTGATTCCTATATATCAAAAAAAAAGAAAACAAAACAAAGAATGAATAATGATGAGAAAAATTCAATTCGATTTTGATTCGATTCGATTGAATGATAAAATTATTAGTATGACAATTCTTCCGGTGTTTTTTTTGTTCGATCTTTGGTGCAAACAGAACAGGTAGACGATATAGGATGAGAACATTGATCGTTGATAATGTCATTCACAAATTATTATTATTATTATCAGAACCGTTTGTAAGTTTTTTTTTTTTTTTACTTCCACCATAACATGATATTACTATTTTTTTTGTTGTTGTTGTTCTGACTGGTTGGGGTAGAATGATTTCACTAAAAAAAAAATCGTTTTGAAACAATTAATTTTCATTTAGTTAAATGATGATGATGTAGACACGAAAATAATTTTTAAAATGATCAAGATTTATTTATTTGTTGTTTTTTTTGTTTTGTATGAATAAAATTCATTACAAACAACCAAACAACGACGATTGTCATATGATGAATACAACGATGGTCAAAATAGAATGCATGCTGTGACAAATTTTTTTTTTTGATTGTTGTTATTGTTGTTGTCTGTAGTTGATAAAAAAAAATGAACAAATCTCACGGTAACCAAGAAAAATGAATAAATAAATTTTGATGTGGTTGAAAGATTGACAAGAAATCAAGAATCCAATGCACATATGCATTCATTAATCATAATTCATCAAACAAAAGAATGATTGAAAATGAAAGTCAAAGAACTTTGAAAATATGGAATTTTATTTGGCATCAACTTTGAAAGTTATCATTGAAAAAATATTATTATTATTATCATTGCAAATGCATTCATGCACATATACATAAATATACGAATTATATCGAGACGGTCAAAGTTCATCCAATCAAACACACACACACACACACACACTTTGTATACAACATTGGTAAACAAAGAAAACGAACAAATTACATTCTAGGCAGCCATTGAAGCAATATTTACAACAACAAAAAATGAAATAAAACTCGTACAATGTCAGATGCACATCATCACCAAAATCATCATTGAGAATCAAATTTTTAGCCGTTTAAATATGGTCCAAAAAAAACAAATTTCAATGAAATTGTTTGCTGTGGTTGTGGTCGAATGAATAAAATTCATGAATGAATAAATAGACATGACAGACATTTGAAATTGAATTATCACAATATCAACAACAACAACAACAACAAAATCGATGATAATCGTCATGTCCCCCATACATTGTTTCGGTTGGTCGATGTATAGGATTGCCAGACTAAATGAATGTATGAAAATGCTATAAACATTTGTACAAACATAGACACAAATAATGATTTGTAACAAAAGAAAATGCACAAACACCTGACTTTTGGTAGAAAATATTCAATGAATGAATATTTTCTGATGATCTGGTTTTATATAATAAAAAACAAAATATTCAATGTTTTTTTTTCGGCCACCAAAACATGACACAATTTAGGACAAATTTGACATCAATTTCATTGAATAAAAAGATTACAATATTTGGAAATTGTTATTTATTTTGATTAAACGGGTTGATGAATTTATTTTTTGCCTTTTTTTTCGAAAAAAATTTTAAATCAACTCGGTTAACGAATGAATAATGATTGATTGACTGAATAAATGTTTTTTGTTTTGTTTTGTTTAGATTATTGTTGAAAATAAAATGGAATCGGTTGACAATTATGAATGAGTAAATTTTTTGTAGGCCAAATTCCAAATCCCTGATAACGATAAACATTTTCTTTTCATTCCATTAATTGAAGTGATTCAATTTTCACCGGTATTAAATCTAGGAATTCCAATAATTGTTGATGAAATTCTCGAAAATATTTTTCACAATGTTCAACATTACGATCTAGATAAGATTTTATTTCCAAATGATATTTTTCACAGATTAACCATAGCCGTTGCTGTTGTTTAACATCAAATTGGACAAATTTTGTATGCATTTTACCAATCATCATATAGGCTAACAATATTGGTTGAACATATTCTTCATCTTTGATTATTTTTGGTAATGGATATAGAATCAATTGATCCACTGTTTCAGGAATTTTTTTCGATTTATCCACATTGAATTCACTAAAAGTACATAAAAATCGATAAAAATAAAGAATCGATCTTGTTGTTAAAACATTAATTTTTTCCATAACATGTACATTTTTTTCATAATCCAATTGTTTTTTCGTATTCATTTCTTCTTGTTCATCAGAAACCATTTCCTTGCCAGCAGAACGGATATCAATATTTTTAATTTCCTGTCGATTTTGTCGATGTTTTTGTACATATTGTTTCATTTTTAATGAAACTTGAGTTACATAAAAATCAGCAATATACATTAATAATTTCCGATGATATTTAATGAAATGATCAGGACTAATTTCTTTAAGTAATCTTTCAAACATATCGATACGTCTTTTGTTCATCTTACATCGAGAATCGATATCCTCAAGAAACGGTATCATCGATCCATAAATGGAACAATGATCGAAACAACAATTTATATGATCCGAACACCTTTCATTAATGGTGAAAAATTTTTTTGCTCGCTCAATGGCATCCAATGCATATTGATATACTATCTTGGCTTGTTTATAATCACAGATTGGAAATCTAGGAAATTGAGCATCAAGTTTTTGCACATCTGGATCGTTGAGAAGAAATTTTCTATTTACAAAATAAATGTATTAAAATTAGTTTAAACTATTGTTATCAATAAACTTACTTTGGTTGATGATTAGATTCTGGTTGGATTTTATAATCAGATTTTTCCTTCATTTCTTGACTAAAATCGAATAAAAACAAACAATATTTTACTTCGATTATATCTAAATCGGCATGAGCCTTATTGTAACTATCAGGTTCTTTTTGTTTGATTTGTTCGTCAGTTTCATTCAGAACTTTACGTGCACAAGATATCATATGACTACCTAATTGGAATTGTTTTTTTTCAATATAAAATTGAGACAATGTAGCCATGTTTAATGCCCATTCAATATGATCAACTTTAGTTAATTGTGTATTCAGCAAATGATATTCAAATCGTAATGAATCATAACAATAGCGTGATGCATCTTCGGACATTTCCATTTCTTGATAAAATTGTGCAGCTAGCTCCAATGAGGTAAGAAAAATACTATACATCCGCTTTTGATCATCTTCCAATCCGGTAGGAAAACTATCAATGATTTGTTGCAAAGTTATAATATGATCATCAAGTTTCAATATGTCATCGAATCCTATCACAGCTGGATGTGGATTCTGATTATTCCTGATAATTTAAAATGAAATTTAATTATTAATGGATAATCTTAAAAAATTGATTAAAAATATCATTACCATTCATGAAATAATATTTCCACTTGTTCGATATAACATTTAAGAAGTTGAAAATTTTTACCGATATTATCAATTAATGTTTGACTAAAGATTTGATTATAGAAATTGATCAAAAGGCTAACGAATGGATTACGCATTGAAGTATCGAATGATGATACTAATTCTGGATCATCGATAACCAAACCAAAATACGGGAATTGTATAAGCAAAAATTTCTTACATTCTTGGAGATGTTTTTTTGCAGTAACAAAATCTCCATGTTCACAATGAATTTTATAAATTTTCAAATGAATATACCATAATAAAAGCCAATAACGATCTGACTTTTGATCATCATCAATATTTTCCGATAGTTTCAATAGATTTTCAAGCGATTTCAAAACTTGACGTTGAGATTTATCTTCCAATAGATTATTGAACGTTTGTTGGATCGATGAAAGCCAATCGTTGAATGATAAATAATCCATATTATTAAATTCCACAAATAAGGCATTTACGTTATGCAAATCAACAAATTTTTGTCATGTTATTCTTAAAAATAATCAAAACACCATAAACAACGATATAATCGATTGTAACGTTCGTTCCTTTTTTACCACTAATTTTCGTTTTTTTAGTTTCGGTAAACACTAACAACGCAAGCGCAGGTTGAATATTTGAATACTTATTGATTTAGTGTTATTTTATTATCATCGATTTCGGGTATCATTTGAAACCCGGATTCATTTTTAGATTGAGCGATATTCGTTTCGAAGAGAGTGATTTTTGTTGTTCAAATTTTTTGGGCTTTTCATAAAAAAAAAAAATAGTAGCGGCATTCGAGTATTTGATAGCAGCAATAAAATCTGAGAAACAATGAAAAATGGTAGTGGAAAAAAACCACACCTGCTATGTATATATATACAAAATAAACAAGACAAATAAAATCGATGCCGCTTTTTATGTTTCTTTATATTGTTCAATAATCAATACTGCTACCTTACTGATTACATCAATTGATTTCCCTTTCCCATCAAACAATCATCATCAACAACGATGAGCATTTACCACTTCAAAAAAAAAAAAAAATTATACCACACAATAAATAATTTGCCTAAATATATTGAAATCGAATGATTTTCAGGCACACACACACAACACATTTATAGACGTCTATTTCCATGATTTTTTTTTTTACTCAATCCTCATCATACACGCAAAAGCATAACATGTTAGACTTGTAACGAATTTTTTTTTACTTGTTTTTTTTTGTTATCCATCCATCCATCTTCAATATAATCGTTGTCGTCGTCGTCGTCGTCTTTGTGTGTGTTTTGTTGTATTTCCGAATATCCGTTTGTATTGCGTGTGTGTGTGTGTTTGGTATTTGAATCGGGTATATTCTTTTCTATCCCTGTTCATTCTGCTATCATCATCATCATCATCATACGAAATAAAGTGTATATTTTCACTTTGCTACGACGACAACGATCATCATCATTGTAAAAAAAAAGATATAAACCAATTTTTTTGTATGAGCATTTTTTATACTTGTCTGCTATACGTTTTGTGTTTGTATTTGTGTGTGTGTGTGTGTGTGTATATTGAATCCTTTACTCCCTAGTATATCTGGTCATCATCATCATCATCATCATCTTTAGTAGAGGAAGCAAAAACTAGAATCAAAATATATTAAAAAAAAAAATCTATTTTAATCGATAGCTAAATCGAATCGTCAAAAGTGTTTTGGTTGATTATTCTTAATGCCACGGACCAAACTGTAAAAAACATTACTTTCATCTTTTAGTTGATTTTTTTGAAATAGAAAAATCGAAAAAAAAAACATTTGATGTTCATATTCAATCACTGTCATTCAATTTATATCAATTCTGTTCACCATAATCTTTGAAATTTATATTTTCATCTTATTCAATTTGAGATATATCCAATATATAGACAGCTCAAAAATCATTATTTTTTTTAGCAACCAGTTCAAGCTAAAACAAAAAAATAACATTAATTCATCAACAACTCGATCGAACAGAAGTCATAACAAGTCGAAGAAATAACCACACCACATTCAGTGTTTGTATGTGTTGAATTCTAGCATTGAATCTGGAGAAAAAAATATTACCTCGGCTTATCCAACCTATTTCATTCGTTTAAAATCATCATCTAGTAAAGATATTTTTACTTTTATCTTCCAGTTATTTTGCTTGAATAATTTTTCTACGTCTTCTTGGTGGCTTCCCTTCAAGTATTTTCTACAATATTATAAATCTTGTTTGAAGATTCTTTTCCAAGGCCAAGATCAATTGCTTCGAAAAATTGCGATTTTTTGGGAAATCTGACTCACAATTGATGTAAAAAGTACGCTTGTTTTCAATGTTTTTTGTTGCCTAATTATATTTGTACTTTTTTTTCTCATGTACCGAACTAATCTTTGATTAATCTCATCTTTAAGTATATTTGAGGTTTTCATCCATTTATCGGTGATAATATCGATTAACATACAACAATATTCTAACGCGATAGAAAACAAAGTGATCTCCCCTTTCATCATCATCATCATCATATGCATGTACATATGACAAAATTTGATCGGTGATTTTTGTTGCTAAACAAAACATAGGAAAACCCAATTTTCCATCAAATACACACACACACTTCCCCCTTTTAGTTGCATCTGGTAGTACAAATAACAAACCAGAAATTTTCATTTGGGTAAGTTTTTTTGTTTACTGAATCAATCATGATAAATTGTAAAAAAGCAAAAGTTATAATCTAACGGAAAAAATTCTTCCCTTTAGACATTATCATTTCACTCTTTTTTTCAAATTTTGGGCGTTTATATGAGCATTTTCACTCATTTTTGGTTTTATTGTCGAAATTATCATCTCACATTTATTGATTTATCTTTCTGCAAATTTCAATTGTTTTCATAGTGGAAAAACGAATTCATAAATATATATCTTTACAAGATTTTCAATGAAAAAAAATTTTCTCAGCTGAAAGCACAACACGAAACATTCAACATTGTCAACATCAAAAAAGTCTTTATTGTCACTAATTTGTCGTGTCATCTTGTTTAATCAATTATAATAACTTTTTGTGTGAAAAAATAATTTATTTCGATTCATCATCTCTAATTTTTACCACCCTCCAAACAACAACAACAATATAAATTTTTCAACAGTGAACTAATTAATAAATATCATGGCCGATCCATTAAATATTGATAGTATTATATCTCGACTACTAGAAGGTAAGAATTTTTGAAATATAATTTTGAATTTAGAATGATGATGACAGATGGAATCTAATCGATTATATGCAGATTCAATGTCCTTTTTTTTGTCAATTGTGTCGTATTCATGGTTTTCATTTTCAAGTCATTGTGTACAAAATCAATCAAACTATAATTAATCATCAATTAAATTTCATATTACATTTGATTTGTTATTCGTGATTATTTCCCTGATAATCACATTTTTTTTTTTTGTTTTTGTTTCCATGATTTTATTTATTAGTCAGCTTTTGTTGTTTTATTTCATGTTTTGTTTATCCTTTTGTGAACATTTCAACTAAACTAACCATTACATAGCATATAATTCGGTTGCTTGTTATTGTCACCAACATATCGATATCAATTCACTGTATTGCAAGCTATGGTTTTTGGGAAGTAATTGCCTTATTTCTGGTTAATGTTGTGTTTGTGCTGACACATATCTAAACCATATACTAACATTAAAAATCTATATGATGAGGTTTTTTGTGAAAAAAAAATCTTTGAATTTCTTTCAACTTATCCGTTCATGATATTATATGATGATGCTGAAGGATAAAACTATCAATATGAAGATGCATTAGTCCAGTTTTATTTTTCAATTATATTGCTGATGATGATATTACTTTTTTGCTATGTCTAAACTTGGATTTCCTGATCATTGAGTTGTGTAAGGATTGTAAAAAAAAATTCAACATCACAATGACGATAATAATTTATAAAATAAAAGACCTTTATTATTGACATTTTATTATAGTTAATGTTTCATATGATGTGGTAGTCGATAAAATCTCAAAACTTTATGTAAATCTAGGGTTCTGTTTATTTTTTTCTCCTACATTAACAACCATTATCTATGGTTTTTTTATGTCTTTATTATATTGTTGACTTCAATCAATATATATATAGGAAAAAGGTAGTAGGTTTAGGTTTAAATAATAATGTTGGCATTCAGCCACTCAATACATGGTCGATTATTTTTATCCAGGATTATCCATTGACAATCATTGACGTTGTTTTTGTATACAACAAGGACTTATCCCTCACATAAAATAGTTATCATATGGTAAAAAAAATTTAGAAAACAAAAGCCTTGTAACGCGTCAATCTTGCCAAACAACAGATTAGTTTATTAACCTCGAGATATAATAAATGTTTTATTTTCTTTATCCAATTTATCAATTTTAAAAAAACCGAACAATAGCTACTCTATCGTAAATTTCATTTTGTGTAAAAAAAAATATCTATCAAGTTTGTATAATCGATCGATATCCTTTAAAACTCTAGGCCAAGCACTATAGACATTTTTTTCTGGTTTTCTGCATTCAATTAATTTGTCTGACGTCTTTTCTTCCGTTTTTGATTGGTTATAATTGAAAACTATCATGTTGTTTTTCATATTCTTATATAGTTCGAGGTTGTCGCCCCGGAAAAGCAGTACAATTGGCAGAAACCGAAGTTCGAGCCCTTTGTCTTAAATCTCGTGAAATATTTCTCTCACAACCAATATTATTAGAATTGGAAGCTCCATTAAAAATTTGTGGTAAGTATTTGAAATTTATCAATGCCCAAATAATAATATCTAAATCTATCTAAAATAATTATAATGGTTTCTATTTCTATAGGTGACATTCATGGTCAATATACAGATTTGTTGCGTTTGTTTGAATATGGTGGATTTCCACCCGAAGCCAACTATCTATTCTTGGGTGATTATGTGGATAGAGGAAAACAATCATTAGAAACCATTTGTCTATTATTGGCCTATAAGATCAAGTATCCAGAAAATTTTTTCCTTCTCCGTGGCAATCATGAATGTGCCAGCATTAATCGTATATATGGCTTCTATGATGAATGTAAGCATTATTATCATCATTATCACCATGAATGATAGTTTCATAATTAATTGTCAACTAATCATTTCGAAATAGGTAAACGAAGATACAATATCAAACTGTGGAAGACCTTTACTGATTGTTTCAACTGTCTCCCAATTGCCGCCATCATTGACGAAAAAATTTTCTGCTGTCATGGAGGTAGGTCCATCAAATCAATGTTTTTAACGTTTCAAACGAGAATATATATTCTAATTATAGTCATTGTCTCCTATAAATGATTGAAAAAGAACATTCTATTAAGCCTAATGATCTCTTTCTAATTAGCTTCGCTCTTGATCATTAACCTTGAACCATTAATATTATGTTCCATGAATATGCATGAGATTAATTTGTTTTCTATTTCTTTCTCTCTCCTGTACAGGTTTATCACCGGATCTTCACTCGATGGAACAGATTCGACGTATAATGCGTCCTACCGATGTACCGGACACTGGGCTACTCTGTGATCTACTATGGTCCGATCCGGACAAAGATGTCCAAGGGTGGGGTGAAAATGATCGTGGTGTTTCATTCACATTTGGAGCGGATGTTGTTACAAAATTTTTGCACAGGCATGATCTTGATCTCATTTGTCGTGCACATCAAGTGGTCGAAGATGGCTATGAATTTTTCGCCAAACGACAATTGGTTACATTATTCTCTGCCCCGAATTATTGTGGTGAATTTGATAACGCTGGCGGTATGATGTCCGTTGATGAAACATTAATGTGTTCCTTCCAAGTATGTATATCGTTTTATTTTCTATTACGTTGTTTGGATTTTTTTGAATTTTTATTTTTCAATTGATTGAGACCAACTTTAGTTCTATGCTAGATAGAAGATTATAAAAAATGCTCATCACATGAGTGACGCAAATAATATTGAAAATAGACATTTTGTCCACTAATTAACATTGAATTTAATTCCTTCATATGAATGTTTTCAATTATTTCTGATGAAAACAAGATGGTACATGTAGTTATTTTCATAGTCATTTCATTTTTGTTTGGAGATTGTACCGACAATTTGACAGGGTTTGTTTTTGCCTAATAATCATTCATCGGAAATAAAACAAAAGCATTCAATTGTGTTATGCTTGATGATTGATTTAGCGATGCTATCAGAATTTTTATTCAAATAGTTTAAGATGTCTATAAAAAAAATTTCCATTTTTTCTCGATCATAAACAAAATGATGATTGATTGATGGATTGAAATGTCTTGGATTGTTTTATGATGCCGATCATAATCTTTTTTGTCCTTGATGGGGAAAAAAAGAAAAACCGACCCAAAATGGAAAATGATCGATTGATCAATCGATGTTTTGTTCATATCGATTGGCAGTTTGGCATATCAAAGAATCGTTGCAATCATGTTTTTTTCCGACAAATTCATTTTGGAGTTTTTGTTTTTGGCTTTTTTTTATATATTCCGCTCATATAAACATTTTATTTTATTTGAATGCTAAAATCTGAATAATTGGATCAAATGTTTAAAATTTTATTCAATTGTAGTAAATTTTGTTTACATTTATAGTATAATTGTAATAAATAACTAGAGCCATACAATCAGAAATTGTCATAGTTATGTTTTTTTTTGCTTGTTTGTTTCAATATTTTTATCAACTTTTTTTTGTAAATAGTGGCCTAGTTTTGTTGAAATGAATTGATTCAAAAGATGATGATTGAAATCGGATATTTTTCATTTTCAGAAACACTAACTAGACAAAAATAGAATAAAAATATCAATTCTATTCTATTGTTTGGATATATAGAGTTTTGTATGTGTTTGTTTACTTTATGAATGATGAAAAACTATTCTATTTTATTGGATTTAGTTACGATTATTATTATTATTAATGTTTATATATATATATGTTTTCATCATATCTATCTTTGATAATAATAGGACATTGATATATAAGATGATTAATTCAATTGTTATCATTGTTTGTTTGTTTGTTTCTGATCTACTATTGTGTTAATATAATGCATTGAAATGAGCGACATACATAAATACATTTTCAATAAATATCAAATAATAAAACATGGCCATATTTCATTGTTAATAATATCAATGCTAATATCACCTCTATGTCTTCTTTTGCGATCTAGAATTCTAGATTCTTACCAGTATATATAGATGTTTTTTTTGGAGGAACACATTTCTGTTTTCATTGGTTGGCCGCCGAAGCCAATAATCTTAATTGCTTTTTCTGTTGTTTTTATCCTTTTCTTGAGAAATTTTCTTTTGTCTGATTTAGTTGATTGTTTTGAAATGATTATTATTCTTTTCGGAATTGAACCACAGTCCAATTAGGTTGTTGTTTATTGGCCCTTATTTTAATTTTTTATTTTTTTTTTTTTTGGTTCCAATTGAATAATTTAATAACCTTGATGTATATATAGAAATAAAGTTTCTACAATATCTTTGAGCGTTTTTCTACTATTTAAGAATTTTTTATTCCATCATATGATGATCATCATCATTGGTATTAATATATTCAATGTAGTCGTTTATCAAAGATCTATGAAGTCGATTATAGTTTGCTAACAGAAAAAAAATGTTAAGTCCTAGTTCATTTGAAAGAGTGTTTAGGGCATTAGTTTTCTGATGAAAAAAAGAAAAATTCAAATACTTTATATTCGTTGCTCTTTTAATATGATGATGATGATGATGATGATATAAAATGAAATTTAATTTTCATGAATCATTTAGCTGACGTCTAACCAACATTTTTTTTGTTGAAAAAAAATTTGAATAATTTAATAATGACGTGTTCTGGTGGATGGATTGTTTTGTGTCTACAATGATTATCCACTGGTTTTTTTTCTGTCCACCATTTTTTTTTTATTGTATCCAGTTACAAACTTATCATCTTTTCTATTGTTTGGAAAGAATAACACCTCCATCGTTCATTGTCAGTGATTTTGGTTGAGTATAAAATTCTTTTGTTTCTTGGTTTTCTTGTTTTTTTTCAAGTTTTTTTTTGTGAGTCAAAATATCCATCCTTAATATACAAGATATATATACTGCTGTTGTGTTTCCTTTATTTCAGATAGAAATTACAATGTTCTTCAATCAATTTATCCATAAATCATCGTACCAAAAAGGAAATTCTAATAACAATTTATTTGACTTATATAACAATAGAGAGCTGCTATTCTTTCGACAAAAATGTACGCGTATAATTTTTCAAAATGTCAATGTTTGGGTGGTGATGGTGGTTTAGATTTTTTTTTCATTCATGTTTTTCTTTGTTTGGTTCATACGCGGATTGATTACCTTTTTCTTTGTTATTATTATTATTCAGATAAATTTCTGGTGTATTTTCGGACCGCCTGATCGAAAATAATTCTTATCTAGAAATCGAACCCGGATTTTTTCTTTCTTTCCCATAGAATATTTGGTCTATTTTTCTATTGTGTGGCATGTTTTTTATACAATAATTTGTTGGCTATTGTGTTTTTTTCATTTTTTTTATTTTTTGATTCAACAAGGCTATTACGTCAGCCAAACAAGTCACACACACTCATACACACAAACAATATTTCCAATCGGCTACTTATTGGATACAGAATCGAAAAACTAGGCTAATCGTTCATAAAATAATTTTTAGTGTTAAGGACAAAACAAGTGAGCAATTTCGTTTCATGTTTACTATATGTCAATCATGATGAGTGCAGAATCATCGTCTTCTTATTTGTTGTTGCCTTTTCATCATTCGTTATATTGAAAAAGTGGTTTATATTTAGAAATCAATAATAATTCAAGTCAGTCTTTCGGAGTGTATTGAAGAAGCAATTCTTATATTTAACTTATTTTGAAAAAATTGACATCGATTAAAGAATTGTCTGTATGTGTTTTGATGCGTTTATTCCTGAATGTTTTCATTTATAATAACGATGATTTGAAAGATGGTATGAAAGATGATTGTGAAATCATGAAATTATGAATTTAATAATATTCCCATTTTTAATCAAAGATGGGAAGAGAAACCACATTGCCATTAGCGTCAAATAAGAATGGCTAAAATTAGCCACAAATAAAAATAATCATCCTAAAATTGCAATTGACGCCATAGTGTGTGTGTGTGTGTGTGTGTGTTTGTGTATGTTTATCTTTTTGTCATGATTATTATCGTGATTTTCTTTTGCCTTTGCATCATCCACATCATCATTCACAGCGATTCTGTTCAATCGTGATGATAAAATCAAGCAGCTGTTACTGAATTGAAATTTTTTTTTCACTTATTACTTTGAACAAAAATAAATATTAAATGAAAAATAAACGTTGGCGTTACTGGTTGAATAGCAAAAAAGTTTTTCTATTCGTTATGATACCATTATCAATAGAGTGGGGAAAAACCTACATCACAAAACATGAAAAAAATCTATTAATTTTATTTCGATGGTTATTTCTGGTTTTTTTGTTGTTGTTCACTTTTTATTATTATTATTATTATTACTTGACTGTAGGTGGATTAAAAATTCACTTTTTGTCAATTATTGCCACATCTAAATGCTTATATGTGTGTGTTTGTCTATTATCTAATGTTTGTGGAAAATGCCTGTAGTGTTAGATCAATTTAGATGGGAGAAAGTTGGAAAAATGAATTTTTTTCTGGTCTGTTGCTACCCATTTTTTTATATATAATATAATGATTGATGAATCATTTTTTCTCCTTCTACAAGCATGAACATCTATAAATTATTGTTTTCATTTTTTTTCAGTCCAGAATCAAGACAATATTTATTAATTTTATCTTTTTCTTTGTTTTTGTTTTATTTTTATTGTTCCAAATAGATATTGAAACCATCAGAAAAGAAAGCCAAATATCAATATGGTGGACTGAATTCTGGTCGTCCGGTGACACCGCCACGAGCACCGGCTATTAAGAAAAAATGAAAAAAAATTTTAAAAAGAAAAATTTATCATCATTCTTATTTGGTTAAACATCATTGGAAAATGGTCGCCCACAAACCCAGATCAAAATTTAACACACACCCACAAACACAATTGAAAAATATCTCAAACTGATAAATTTTCCAATGACAATAATAATCAATATATAATGCAAAATACACATACCTCCATCCTCTCTCAACATATATAACAACATACAACAATACAAGATCCCTTTCAATTCACTCTCAACATCAGCAACAAATACAGAATTTAAATTTATCAATGGCACACCATTATAAGCTACATAACATATTATATACATTTGAAATGACAATGACATCAACAAAACAAAACAAAAAAAAAAAAACAAAAACTTAATTCTAGGAAACTTTAAAAAAAACAAACAAACACACACACACACATCATTATAACCCATTATTTGTTCTTTATGATGTTTTTTTTTCATCATTCTCTCTCTTTCTCACTCTCTATAATCACATCATTATCATACACACACACACACACACACACTAAAATGTATTTGAAAAATTTAGATTTACATTCACACACACACACACCCTCTCTCTCTCTCTCTCTCTATACACACACACACAAAAATATTTTTTAAAAAAAATATTAATAAGAATAATAATAATAATCATTAATAAATTTTTTGTTACATTCATCATCATCATTATCATCATCATCTTAATAATTTTCGTATATATTGAAATTACAAAACAAAACAAAAAAAAACCAACACACAATTTATTATTATATTCGCTAAAAAAAAAAAAAAATTAGTTCGTTTCAAATATGTGTGTATTTAGTGTGATGGAGATGAAAACAAACGAAACAAAACAAACAAAAAATTCTAATTTGTTTTGTTTTTGTTTCTGTACATCATCATCAGCGTCATCTAAAAATTTAAATAATTATTATTCATTACAATTTATACAATTATATTCTCATTGAAATGGTTTTTTTTTGTTGCTGCTGTATAAATGATGTAATGTATCGAGATATATGTTATATAATATAATATAATATAAGATAAGAGAGAGAGAGAGAGAAAGTTCTACTTGGTTAACATAATATGACATTTGAATTTCTAATTTACCCATTTTTTTTTTTTTTTTTTTTTTGATGATAGTTTTTTTTTTTCTCTCTCTCTCTGTCCTTTTTTCTTCACACACACACAAATTGATCACACAAATAAGTGAAAAAACAAACAAAACAAAAGTTTATACATTTGGTGCACTATTATATATTTATTATTATTATATAATGATGATAATAAAAATTCCATAAATTATTATTCTGAAAAAATGATTAATTCTTAATAGAATTTATTTATTCATTTTGACAGTATTTTTTTTTTTCGTAGTCAGATTCTTATAAATAATTTTTTTTTTCATCATAATTAATGTTTAATGTACCATCATCTGTGCCATTCTGATTGTGATGTGTGTGTGTGTGTGTGTGTGTGTGTGTCAGATATTGAAAAATATGAAATGATTCAATTTTTAAAATGAAAATCGATTTTTTTTTTGTTTTCCTGTCGAATATCATCCAATCCATTGATATGTGTGAGCGTTCACATTTTCACATTTTTGGTACAAGAACGAAAAACAAAAAAGATTCGGTTGAATTATTTTTCATTGATTGAAAAGAAATGGGAAAAAAAACTTCAGGGTTTCACCTAGTTTTTTTTTGCTTCTTTGAATGGATGGAAAAAAACTTGAACGAAAAAAAAAATTCTATTCTACTCTTTATGACAGCTGAATCTTCGGGCGTTTACCAAATTGATTTCATTCAACGATGTGATCGTGATGGACTTTACATCAGCATTATTTGTCGAATAAACGATGTAAACATCTTTGATCTAATAATAAATTGAATGAATTACATCCACTATTGTTATTGTAGATGAGAATCGTAAATTGAATGAAATCGGTATTATTGATTCAAAATGGCGAAATAAATTGAATTATTATTATCAACATCCAGTTAACAAACCATAATGATAAAGGAAATGATGATCATCATTTCACTTTTTACATGGCTAAAATTCGTCATCAATAAATCTAATTATTATATTTGTATTATGACAATACTTAATGCTTGACACTCTCTATGATCAAAAAGAGAGAGAGAGAGAGAGAGACAGAGGGACAAGTTGTCACATCACATTCCACCCATAACACTTATCTAATGGACTTTATTTTCAATATATATAAAAAAAATGCTGATCTAAAAATATTTCGAGTATTGGAAAAATTATCAAATCAATTTAATCGATTATTTCAATTCATATTAAATGGGATTTTGTAAAAAAAAAATTAATGAAAATTTAATCAAAACCTGAAAAAATTTTGTTTTGTTTCAATTATTCATCAAATATGTGACAAAAATGTACAGTCCAAAAATTATTGTGACAAATAATATCCATTGATGATGACATGTTCGATTACAATCAATTCACATTTTGATTAATATTAACACACACACACACACACGCACCCATACATTTGACATTAATATCATGTAGTCCCAAATGAATGAATTTACGTCATTAATTTTCATCATCGTCATAATTCGTATATCTTATCAGTGAATATAAATCCAATCAACAAGAAAAATCAAACATTATATTTTCAATGACATTTTTTGTTTTGTTTCTTTGGTTTGATTAGTTTTCCGGTATTATTTATTGATTGCCTGCCAACTGATTGATGATGATGCCATATAATGGTAAAAAAAAAAATTAAATAATGAAAATAAAATGTCATCATTGAAATTATTGCGAATCCCGGGACTGGAAATATTTTATCCGGGAATGATATTTGTTTTGTTCAATATAGTTAGTTAGTTATAAAGGAGTAAATGACAGCAAAACAGAGCGAGAGAGAGAGAAATAACCGGATCAAAATCTCAGACTTTTTTTTGCATTTCCATGTCATCATCATCATGATGACGATGATGTTTAACCACCAGGTACGTTTCTGTGTGTTGTGTACGCATTCATAGATAAAATTGTCATTGAATTTCAATGAATTCGAATAAAGATTTTTTTTTCTTTCTAAATTGTAAATAATACTTGAAAGTTTTTAATGAAATTGGATACAATTTTGTGTGCATTTCAAGTGGAAAAAAAACATTTCTATAAAAAAGATAAATGATGATAAGAAAATCATTTGAAGGATACCAAAAATTTTTCTTTTCATTTTCAATAAAATCCAAGTCAATTGAAATTGTCCATTTGACAATTATTTGCTTTCTATAATTTTCACTAACTTTTCATTCATGAAAACAGAACCAAAAGAAATTGACCACCATCATCGACAAGTCAACCAGATAAAATAAAGTTTCTCTAGTGATTCTAATCAAGTTGTACAAACCAAAAAAAAAAACCCACGCAAACCCACTCTGAATTCTGGAACAATATAGTTTCAAAAAAAAAGTAACAAACGATGCCTCACAAACTACTAAATACAGACACATGCGTCATTTTTTGTCTTTCATTCTGAAAAAATCCTTTTTTTTTTTTTTTTTTTTTGGTGAAAAAAAAATAATCAGAAACAAATTCCTTGGAAATCATACATTGTAATGAAGGGATTTAATGGGAAAAATAAAAAATCTTTCAAAATTCAAATCATTATAGAATTTCTAATGAAAAAAATGGAATCCAAAATAATCTCATGACAAACTCAATAATAGCAAAAAAAAAAGAATTACTGTCGGAAACTAATTCCACCTATGTGGACCCAATTGTGTTGATATATGAAATTTTTTTTTTTTTGTTCATTCACATTGATGGAACTTTGTGTGTGTGTGTGTGTGTGTAAAACATGCATGGTATGAATCCATTCGACAATCCAAACCAAAAAACCATTTACACGCACACAAATAACACATGAAGAAGCCAAAAAAACAAGGTGCTCTTTGTCCGACGAAAAAAAAAAAAATGAAAAAATTCATGTAGTAGTGGTAATAATGAGTGATAAATTTCTGGTGGTTACCCGTTTTTTTTTTATTTCGAATGCTTCTGTTATAATTATCTATGACTTTTTCTACTACCACTACTACTGCTATTGCTTATGAAAATGATGATGATGATGATGATACCGTCGTCATTGGTGGAATTTCCTTCGATATAATCTGATCCGATTCTCTATACATGATCCGACATCTGATCCACACCTGAAAAAAATGTGCATTTTTTATATTAATGATGATCATTGTATTCGTATGGTGCTGATGTCATTGCCGTCGAAAAAAGAAAAGAAATCAAATATTTAATCCGATATATACAACAACAACAACAACAAAACAATCAGCAAATTACAACCAATTCGACTTTATACAATCTACTACTATATATTTTTCCATTTACAAATAAATTCTAGTGATAAATTATTGTAATTATAAAGAATAAGAAAATTTTCATCTAATTAAAACGTCAACAACAACAACGACGACGACGACGACTAAATTTTTTCGACAAAAACAAAAAACAAAATTTGCCGCATTAATCATCATCATCATGGCCAAATTAGTATAATAAAAAACTATACATCAATTTCAACAACAACAACAACTTCGTAAACAACAACGAAATTTCATTAGAAAGATTCAAGTAAAAAAAAAATAAATGTGTTTATGATTTTTTTTCTGTCGCATTAACACTACGAAGAAAAAGAATTTATTCATTTTCAAGATTTGAGTCGATTATTACGCAAATTTTTTTTTTGTTTTATAGATAGAACGAATGTTTTTTATTTCACTAAAAAAAAAAAAAAATAAACCATAACACACCATACTACATCTCACCTTGATTTTGATCTTGTTTGATTCTCATCATCATTCACAACATTGATGAATATCAAAGAGAAGAAAATATAAAAAATTGTATTGATTTGATTTCCACTCACGTCTGTATAAGAACACACATACAATTAAATCACAAATCATTGTTTGTTTTGAAAAAATATTACCTCCGAATATAATACCACCATTTGTTGTAATACTACTACGACTACGAACTGAGAAAAAAAAGCAAACACAATCGATTCGGCTAAATTGAAACAATCAGAAAAAAAAATCAAACGTAATTTATAAAACAACAAAAAACAACATAAAAAGATTTCTGAATTCAACCACACATGATAATGATGATGATGATGAATGTTGAACAGACATAAAAACATTCAATCCAAACATTGACTCAAACACGTGTCACTCGATAGTTATTTAGGCATCTCGGTGATAATGAAATTTTTTTTTCATTATATTAATGTAATGAAAAAAAATATGATTAGAATTTGAATTGTAACATGAGTATACTTGATCTGCTGCTGCTGTTGTTGTTGTGATTCCATAATCTTATCATCATCATCGTCATATAATAACAAACAAATCATCAAGAAAAAGCCAAAACTTACAATAAAAAAAAAATATTGACAAATTTAATTTACCAGAAAAAAGAAAACAACACGACAACAATAATAATAATATAAGAGAAAATCATACAAAAAAACAATCAAATCAACTTTTTTTTCAAATTGTGTTTTTGTGTCACATGTTTCTACTATTATTATTTTTTTTTGACCATAATCATTCCAGCCCTTAATTGTGTACCCTATATTGTGTGATATATTTTGTTTCATTCGCATATTTGTTACGAATTTTGGCTATTATATTATCAAGGACAACAATCGATTGGAAAATTGAAACGGTCGAAAATATACAACAATAATAATATATTTTGAACTCCATATAAATCGCGGCGGATAAAATTACGATTGTCGCTACGAACGAGATGAGCTCGATATTTGAAGAAGTTTACCTTTATGATTATGATGAAGAGAAATTAACTTTCTATAAACGTTATCAGAAGCCATTCAATATAGAAGTAATCGATGAATCCGATAAGCTATTGATCCGTTCACGGACGAAAAACAATAATGATAATGTAAGTTTGATTATAATTTAATTCCATCGAATGTTTTCATATTTTTTTATGTTTAATAGTATAATAATAATACATCATTGAACAACAACATCAATAATAATAATAATAATAATTCAACGACATCGATACAATTTCAAGCCGAAATATATAAAGATACACCATGTTCAGAATTTAGTAAAAATGGCTTCGTCATTACTGACGAGAATGGAAAATCTGTTCATCTATTGTTTGGAAAGAAATACATATACGATAATGAAAAGGCCAATTATAAGGAAACGGATTTTTGCCGTTTCACCAAATTAGTCAACGATTTTAAATTAGGCCGTAAAGAATCGGTGTTTACGTTACGTACGGATGAAGCATCAGCAACACAGTATTTTCAATTCTATGGCTATCTATCACAACAACAAAACATGATGCAAGATTATATTCGAACATCCACCTATCAAAGAGCCATTTTATCAAATTTGGAAGATTTTCAGAATAAAATCATTTTGGATGTTGGTGCTGGTTCTGGCATACTTTCGTTTTTTGCCGTACAAGCTGGAGCAAGAAAAGTATATGCCGTTGAGGCTAGTTCGATGGCCAAACATGCTGAACAATTGGTAGCTTCAAATAAATTAGCCGATAGGATTATTGTCATACCTGGAAAAATAGAAGAAATTTCTTTACCCGAACAAGTGGATGTAATCATTTCCGAACCTATGGGCTATATGTTATTCAATGAACGTATGTTAGAAACATATCTACATGCAAAAAAATGGCTCAAACCTGGTGGCAATATGTTTCCAACAAGAGGCGATTTACATGTTGCACCATTTAGTGATGCTCAACTCTATACTGAACAAGTAAGAAAACTTTATCATTTCTAATATCATTGTTAATTTAAATATAATTTTAATTCAAATTAGTTGACGAAAGCTAATTTCTGGTTTCAACAAAATTTTCATGGCGTTGATCTCACCGCATTAAGAAATGCAGCATTGAAAGAATATTTCTATCAACCAGTAGTAGATACATTCGATATACGAATTTGTGTAGCTAAATCGAATAAATATAGTGTAGATTTTCTAAAAGCTCATGAAAAAGATTTACATGTGATCGATATACCACTCAAATTTCATATCAATCAAACTGATGAAATACATGGCTTAGCATTTTGGTTCGATGTAGCATTCTTTGGCTCACAACAAGCTGTTTGGCTTTCAACTGCTCCCACACAACCATTGACACATTGGTATCAAGTATGTTTTTTTTACAAATTAATAATCTTTTTATTCATATGTCTAATGATTTTTTTGTTTATTTATCATAATAATGAATTAGGTTCGATGTCTTATTGATAAACCATTATTCGTACAACGAGGCTATACTGTTAGTGGTAGAGTGTTATTAGTCTCGAATCGTCGACAAAGTTATAATGTACAGATAGAATTACAAGTAGATGAGATACCTGGATCACATTCTTCCAATTCGTTGGATTTGAAAAATCCTTATTTTCGTTACACTGGGCAACCAGTACAACAACCGCCTGGATGTAATCAAACATCACCAAGTGAAGATTATTGGCAGCAGATTGATGCCGCTCAACAACAACATATGAATGGCGGTAATCTGATCAATGGTGTCTGTTCACAACCAACAAACCAAATGAATACTAATGGTGGATTAGCACATTCGTTGCAACCACAACACCAACAACAACAGACTGGAATGGGACATCCGGTTCTTATACAACAACAGACATCACCATTAGCCGATCAAATTCAAAATCAATTTGTATCGAATCAAACTAATCATCATAATAATTCATCACGTATGTTTGGTGGTTCGTCCGGAATTGCAATGACACATTCGAATGCAGCATTTTCGTATGGACTTCCTTCACATCCAAATTCAATGCCTACAAATCAATCTGCCCAACAGCAGCAACAACAACAACAGCCACAACAGCAAACTCCATCAATGATGACATCAATGTTTAATTCAAGTGGTGGTGGTAGTATTAATGCGAATTCTGGACAAGTTGCTGGTATTAACAATATGAATTTTCCAGTCAATCAAAGCCTTATGATTGGAGATTATGCAGCTGCTGTTTCAGGACAAACTATACCTCCTTATAAGCCAATCTGAAAAAAAATCCGTAAATCAGCCTTCCATGGATACAGAATAATTTTATTCTTTATCCTATTTTTCTGAATCTCAATATCTCAAATCAACTCACAGAATTCATGACCCATCTATACTTATTAATTTTTTTTTGTTCATCATTAATCAATCATTTGTAAGGTTACCAAACAAAATGTACGAATCTGCAACCGAATGTATAAGGAGGCAGAATGAATGATGTATGCTTCCAGATTAATACACAATAATCACACACACACACGAAATGGCCAAAAATGTATAACTCTCTCTCTCACACACACACACAAACACATACAATTGATAGATAATGAACGATTCATCTGTGCTAATTATTATACTTAGATTCGATTTTATTTTATTATTTTTCTCCATATTTTTTTCATCTTAATTGTGTGTGTATTTTTTTTCTTTATCACTTGCATGTATAGCTTGTGTGTGTGTGTGTGTGATGTTTCAATTTATTCAATTTAGAGGAGAAAAAGAATATTTATACTCATGAAATTGATATTACATTGCAGGCTATATTTGCAGATTTACTGAAAAAAATTACAAACACATAGAAACACTGATACCTGATTCCACTTCCATAAAACTTGATTCTTTTAATGATTGTGTATGAGGATCACTTTTTGAAAAATTTCAATTGTTTCATTCTTTAACCAAAAATTAATCATCTTTTTGCATTCGATACATTTTTTTTCTTTGTTCATACATCTGGTATTTGTGTGTAGTAGGTGTGTTGAAAAACCTCAGTGAATACTCAATATATAGCCAGCATTTTATGCATACATCACACCCACAATACACAGGATGTAGGGTCACAATTTAACCACATTGAACTTGTTACTATCTATTTCTTTCTTTTGATGGACAACAAAATTATATTAATTAATTAATTGATTGATTAATTGATTTTTTTAAAAAACAACAACAACAATGAAATTGATCATTTTCATTATTAATTATGGACTTTTAAAAAAAAAAAAAAACAAAACCAGGACATTTTGTAATTTGTAATCTTTCATTTTTTTTCGGTTGTGTCGATAAACAGAATTTTTTTTCGTCGTTGTTTCAATTCGTGTAATTTAATTTGAAATGATGATTACATACACATTTATACATTGATCATCGTAATTTATAAGTGATAAGCAATAAAATAAGAATATGTTTCTGAAAAAAAGTATTAGTATTAGTATTAACAAATTTTAATTATATGAAAAAAAAATTAACGTTGAGACTATAGTGAAAAAAAAATTTGGTGAATGATCATTTTGATGATCTTTCATTTCATTTCATTTGATGTTTATTTCTACCGAAACGGCGACCTAATCGTATGATTGATACAATGAATGAATGCCATAATAGATTCAAATTGTTTCGATACCATTGACTGTAATGTTAGAAAAATTTGATCAATGAGAAAACTGATTTAAAAAATAATATATACTTACGAATTATAACCAATATATCGTTGATGATTATCATCAAGAAATTTTTTATAAAATTGTGCCAATTCTTCATGTGTTTGTGTAGAATTGTAATCAATTTCTGAATGACGATTTTTTAATTCATTTTCAATATAATTCTTCTTTTTCTATGGAGAAAAAAAAATCCAATTAAAATGTTTGTGATAATCAATCGATCGAATAAATAAACTACCTGATTGAATTCGGTATTAATTTTTGACCAATATTCATGATTAAAATTTTGTATCTGTATTCTACGTTCACGTAATCGTTTTTCATATTCAGTTTCATTTTCATTTATAGCATAGTTGAATAATCTTAACTTTGATATTGGATGTGGTATTGCCGAAACTTTGTCGCTATGTTTAAATGTTTTGGATCCATTTGATGATGTTTGATGAACCGTTCGATTAGTTTCATTCGTAATTGATCGAATAATTTTAACCATTACATTATAATGTATCCATGGATGATTCCTATTCGCTGGAATAATGTTGTTAATCCGTAATGTTTTGATCATGATGATGATTTTGAAATTCTATAGACAATGATAAACACATGATTCTTTTCATTTGTGAAAAATTTTAAACAATAGATGGCAATAAGATCGCCAGTAAATTTTCTCAAGCATGTTTTTCGAGAACAAACTTCCCATTTCTGGTTTATTCTCAAACCGTGTGCAAAGCAACAGAACATTCGACCACGTGCTCTTGATGAGTCTAGTCGATATTGTTGAAGGTGAATATTTAATTTTTCTAAAACTTTGAATTTTTTTTCTAGAAAAATAATGATGAATCCAGATGACGAGTCTTATTTCTATTGAATCAATGACATTCTAATCAATAGAAAATGGATGATTCTTTGGCGACTGATTCCTAATTTTTATTACTTGAAAAATTCGATTTTTTTCGGGCAATTTTTAATTTCAATTTTTTTTTTCTTTGTAAAGGAATCGAAAATGATTGAAAATTGATGAATTTTGTTCGAGGTTCCATGATAATTGGTATGTATATGAATAAAATTGATTTAGTTTTATGAAAATAGAGAATTTTTTTTTCGAGAAAAAAAAGAATCGTGATGACGATATACCAACTGAAGATGATTAATGTAATCATAAATATTGATGGTAGTTCGAATAGAACGAGGCATTTGTCTGAATTTTTTTTTTTCATTTTCTAGATTTTTCTCGAATTGTTTAATTTTTTTTTCATGTACTAATTTTACATTTTTTCTTTGGAATTTAGGTACCAAATAAAGTAAATTCTTTACATCAAAATGGACAAATGAAGGTAATTTTTATATCAAAAAAATGATCAAAACAGTGTTTTCAATGATGATATCCAAAAACATGGTTTCGCATTTAAAAAAAAATATATAAAATGTTAATCCGAACCAATTTTGACGATATTCTTGGCTGTCTGATCATTTTTTTATTCTATTTTTTTCGTCTTCTATTTATTCTCTTTTGTAATCTTTCTTGTTTTTTTTTGTTATCTTTAGAGTATCGAATTTTCTGGTTGATTGGAAAATAAATGATTTAAATCATTGAACCATTGGATCGGTATGTTGAAGAAATTTTAATTTACGAGATATTACAATTCTTTTAAGGATGAGATTATAAGACTAGAGTCTCAGATTTCAAGAAATGAATGACAATTTGTCTTTACTGATTTCTATAATAATTAATGTGAATATTTGGAAATTTCATCGATTCTAACCAAATTGTATTTTTCATACAGGTGTCACCGTATTCGCTGGAAAATGGATTTGGTTGTATCATGATTCGTAGTAGAAGGTGTGTTTAAATTATTAAAACTAAAAATTCAATCAAAATATGATGAGTGGAACTTGGTTCCCAAAAAAATATGACAAGCATATGTCTGACCATCCATTATTGATGATTTTTTTTCACTGAATTTTGATCTGGATTTATTATAAATTTCCATCACATTTGATCATTATTTCTAATTCGTTTTATTTTTTTTTTTTTTTAATTATTCAGGTCCTGGCGGTAAGTGTGTTTGGTTTTTGACAATTGAATGAAAAAAAAACATTTGAACCTAAAGGATGAAAAAGAATACGATAATTCGATTACATTCTGACACCTCTTGTCGTAATCAATTATTTGCCGAGATGAACATTTCTGATTTTATCTTTCTATCTAAATAATTCATTTAATAGAATCAGCAAATTCTAATTTTTTTCTTATCCATTTTTTTATGTAGATCCTTTCTTGATTGTAATGTTTTGAATAATAAATGAATTCTGATTGAAATTGAATTTTTTTTCACTGACTATTTTATTCTAAATGTTATTCTAGCATTTCAAAAGTCAATATATTCCAATAGGACAAATATAAGAGAATAATTTCTCGAAAATTCCAGTAATGGGTAGAAAAATACCGTTTTTTCTGGAATCGTTGTAGTGTGGAAAATACCACTACTGCGTATTTTAATCCATATCAATTTTGTTTACCACTACGACAATCATGTTTGACAGTCGACTGACAGTATAAAAAGACGGTCAATTCGAACTGTCAAACCATCGAATTTTGAAACGAAAACAATTTCAAAACACGACTTTCAAAGCCATTTCCTAACTGCGATTTTTTTCCAAAGCGAATAATAATTTCGATAACTTGATATTTCGATAGTTTTTCATCAACGAGAAAAGAAAGAAGAAAATGTTGGCTCTTCCACGACAAATTTCCCGAATGTTGAACGATGTTATGGATGATGACATCTTCTATTGGCCGATTTCTACATTACAAAACCGTAATTGGTTGTCAACATTGAACAGCGATATTCATATGCCGACCTGCCAGGATGGTAAATTCGCAATGAATTTTGATGTTCGAAACTTTGATCCAAACAGTGTACAGGTGAAATTGGATGGCAACAATCTTCAAGTTCAAGCCAAACAAGAAAAGAAAGCTGATGGCCACTATGAATATCGTGAATTTGTACGACATGTTACTGTACCGCAGAATGTTCAATCCGATCAATTGAAATGCAAAATGGACAAAGATGGTGTATTACGATTTGAAGCTCCATTGAAACAGATTAAAAATGAAGAACCTAAAGAACGTGTTATACCGATTGAAATGGTGAACAAAAACAAACCAGCTGTTGAACAACAGAAATAATCAATTAAAAAATGAACATTCTTAACTTTAATTTCATTTATTACAATTTTGATAATCAAACAAGCTCTTGTAATCTTTATTAATTGTATTCTGGATAAAAAAAAGATCTTTTAATATCTTTGTGATTTTTACAGTCAATAAAATATCTTTTTTCAAAAACCCCAACAAAAAAAAAATCTTTATTTTTCTGTATTTGGTTTCTAATTTTAGGCTGTGTGTATTTACAAACAAACAAACAAAACAGCCAAAAAAAAAATATCGCCAAGTTCGATTATCTGTAGGTGTCGAATATTATTGTTACACCAAAAAATTTATCGTCATTTTGAAAGACGAACAAAAAAATTGTTTTTCTCATTTTTTTTTCTACACATCCATCATTCGGTTTCAATGGGTCGATTTTTGTTTTTCTATTTCTGTGTTCAATCGATAATGATAGACAGATGGAGAAAACAAACAAACAAACAAAAATTACCCTCCTACACAGGAAAAAAAGTACAACATCATTTTTGTGAATGTGAATTCATTTGCAGAATTTTTTTTCTTTGGACTGTTATTCTCGTTTTTTTTTACCAAAAAAAGAGATTTTTTGCCCTAAAAAAATGTTTGGTGTTTTTTTCTGGTTTTATGGATGGATATTTGTTGTTGTTTACTGCATTTGAATTGGGCATTTATTTGTCACTTTTTCTCTATTTTTGGTATCCATTGCTATAGGGAGGTTTTTTTTTTTTAGGATAAAACAGTTAATGGAAAAATTCCAGAAAATTCGCGAATCCATTGGAAATATGTAATGAAATGAATAGAAAATTCGAGATGATTCGCGATTTGTATGGAAAAATATGTCCGAAAGGTATGGAAAATACTTGATTTTCTAATAGAACATGCGCAGTTTAATGTCAATAATTTTAGCATACACACACACATCTCTGTTTGTATATAAATACGATCAATTTTTGTTTGAAAATCATCATTCACAGAAAAAAAAATATCAACCACGATTTAAAACGCATTAATCACTGCTACGATTTTTTTTCTATTCATCGTTATTTGAACTGCCTGATTAATTCAAGACTCGAAAATGTTGTCAATTCCACGAAACTGTTTCTGGGACGATGAAGACATTCTTTCGCTACATCCGTATACTCATCGTTCCTGTCCTCGAACATACATGATGCCGGCATTGGATCGTTTTCTTACTTTGGATGAAATGGTTTCCGAACCATCGACGATGATCAAAAATAATAAATTTCAAGCTGATTTGGATCTCCGTAATTTTGATCCCAATGGTATTCACGTGAAATTAGATGGTAACATTTTGCAAGTGGATGCCAAACAAGAAAAAAAAGGTGATGGTCATTATGAATTCCGTGAATTTGTACGTAAGATTACTATTCCCGAAGAAGTGGCCGAAGATCAATTGAAATGTAAACTTGACAAGAATGGCCGTCTTCGTATCGAAGGACCATTGAAAAAACAGCTGGAAATCGAAGAAAAAGGACGTAACATCCCGATCGAGATGGTTAACCAGAAGAAATGAATTTGATTACTTTGATTACTTTCAAACATTTTTTTTTATATATCTAACATTTGTATCTCATTTCTATTCTTCAGTATAACACATTGATTGATTTTGATCATTCATTTCGTTTGAATAAAAAATTTGTTTTATTTAATATTTTTTTTCATTGAATTTTATTTTTAATTTAATCTGAAACAAACAAAAAAAATGTGAAAATGATGGAAATTGAAATGAATCTGAAAATGAAAAATTTTCAATAAAATTTTGATAAATGATTTCGAACATCTTCATTGGTTATTGGATATCGTTGACGTAATGTTTCCATATTGGCATTTTTCGGTCCTTGTGAAATAAATCGGACAATTACGCAAGAATTTGCCAGACGATCTTTCTGATGAAAATAATCAACTAAATTCATGAAATGCTTTCGATGTAATTTTGGTTTCTCTTTCCAATTAGGATTTATTATGGCCAAATCGATTGAATCGATTATTTTACTCATAAATGATTCAAGTAATTCACTAGATTTATCAAAAATGGTGATAACATTGGCACCACCAGCGCGTAGAATATTTGCACATGAATTCAAATGTGCATCATCGTACATTGGATCTAATAAAAGTATTTTTAAATCTTCAAATACTTTTCGATTATTTTTAACAATTTCATGTTTCCATTCGATAGCCACTTTCATCAATTGAAATTCATTCAATTGGGTATTGCTGCTACTTGATGATGATGATGATGGAACATCTGAATCCATTCCCCATTGATAATTTTCTTCGGCCAATAATTTTTTTGACAAAATCGATTCATAAATATATTCAGGTTTCAGTATAAATGCACCAGCAGCAATGGCCGAAAAGACTTTCTCCGTAGATCGTGGTCGATTCAATATTAAATGTGTTACATCTTTCGTTAATATACGATCATCTTTGACGATAATATTTAATACATCATGTGCTATTTTTTCCCATTTTGTTTTAGAATTAACGTTGAATTCTGAAAACATAAATACAGCTGTTGTATTCACTGTTTGAATTTGATCATTAAATGAATGTGATGATGATTGATTTTCTTGTAAATTCAATGCGGCTACTTCATTATTATCAGCCATCAGCATCATATCATTATCATCATAGATATTCATGTCGTTACTTGTTGTTGGTCTCATCCAATCTGTTTCGTTAATTGTTCTCGATGCATTCAATTTTTTTTGATGGTTCCAAACAAAATCCGGACTATCAGTGTCATCTGGATCATTTCCCAATAAATAGTGAAAACGTTGTGATTTTTTTTCATTTGAATTTTCTTTTGAAATTTCATCCTTTAATTTTATTAATTTCTCAAGTTGATTCGGATCGACATTTAAAATACCTAATTCTTCGAATGGATCGGATTTTTTCTGTTGTGATGTTATATTTGTTATTGATGATGATTGGTCTTTTAGTTGTGAATAAGAATGAATAAGATAATTATTTTGTGAACATAAATCACGTAATCGAATACGATCAATAAACCAATCGATAGATACTAAATGATTAGAATATTCACTTTCTGAAAGTTTTTGAAATGATGTTTTAGTAATGTTCGGGCCAACAATTATATCGGTGACTGAATCACATAAAGAATCATAGAAAAAAGCTCCAAATTTTTTTGCACAATTTCGTATCATAATCAACACGTTTTCATCAAATCCTGTTGCATGAATTGAATTACCATCAAAAATTTGATCACTAGATTGATTTGATTCGGAAATTTCTTTAATTATTGATTCCAAGTTATTACTTTCTGTTTTTGTCTCAGCTGATCCAGTTGATGAAACAATTTTTACTGTTTTCGCCCGTTTATTCATCACATTTGTTGTTGTTGTTGTTGGGCTATCTTCATCCATGAGATTATCGATCATATAATTTTCAAATGGTAATGCAAAACTAGCCTGGATCGAATCGTCAAGCCATTTAGGCAATAAACAAGGAATATTTAGCCGTTTTGCATTCAAATATTTTTCACCACGTTTTTCAGGCAGTAATAATATTGTATTTGGCAATACTGGTTTTATCTTCAAAACCGAATGATATTTGCCACCATTTGATTCAACGATATTACTTATTTTATCCCGTTCGTTTAAACCAGATAAAACAATATTTAAACCATGAAAAATTGGCAAACGATATTTCGATATGATCGAATCTTCATTTGCTTGTTTGTATTCATGTTGATATTTTATCCAACATGATTCAATCCAGTCAACTGTTACGATTGGTATATGATTTTCGGCCGCTGCACGAGCTTTTCTTGTGAGAACCGAATCAGAAACAAGGACACTGGTATTGATATGAAGATTTTCATGATAATGTCCAGACATCAATTTTACACGATTTTCAATAAATTGACGTTTTGTGGTTGGAATATCAGAAGTTGTCACTTCCAATCCACGCATACATTGGCTATAAATGGGCCATGTTCGTTGAGGTATTGATGATTGTGGACATGGACAAATATCATTATCACAATATGTTATGATCAATGGACCAACAATACGACATTTATCATGAAAAAAATTAAGTACTTCATCATCAAAACGGTCGGTCACGATGATAATTTCGACATACGGCAATCTATTGGAAGTGGATTTCATCATTTCAAAGCTTATCCATCGAGGTTTAAATTTACGTTTCTCTATCGATATAAATGCCTTTTGCATAATATCCGGTGGTGATGTCGTTTGATTGGATTCAAATGTTAGAAATAAAAATTTCATTTTTAATTCAATATTATCAGCAATTTTTATTCGAAAATGAAAATGACCATCGAAATTCTGTGAATACAATAAAGCTTCAGTTATTGTGTTGTCGACTCATTTGTCGTGTAAATATATACTCAAATTGAAAGACACATTCAATGAGTACGTTACACAATTTAAAAAAAAAATTTTTTCGACTTTTTAATTATTGTGACAAGATTTAATAATAAATTCAAATCAAAGTGCTAAATTATTTTGTTTTATTTTTTTTTTGTAATTTATTTTCATTATTATTGGTCTCGTTGTGCACGTGCAAATATCACTGGCTGTTCATCAAGATTTAAACCATTCTGTTTTAATGCATCAATAAATGATGATAATTTTTCACCACTTTTTCCATATTCACGATGATCATAGAATATTGAATGAATTCCTGATTCTAATGCTCTCATTGCAAGTACTTGACCAAGTATTTTTGCCGCTTTAACATCCGTATAGGTTGATTTTGAACCAAGAAATATTGCTAATGATGGTTCATTAGTGGCAGCTGATATAGTGGTTCTTCCAGAATGATGTATAATTTTCGCAATTAAATATTTTGATCGTTTCACCAATACAACTTTATTCCAATAATGACAATTTTGTTCATCCATTTCATAACCCATTGGTTTTGGTTCCATAAGCATCTGTTCCAAATTACGTGGATTACGATTCTTCAAACGAACATCAATATATTTTTCATTACCATTTTGATTTAATTCTGATTTATCTACTTCAATTTCTGAACATAATCTTGTTATACGTTTATTACTAACATAAGCCATATGTCTATGAATCTGTTGTTCAATACAATGTTTATGTTTGTTGATGTACGATCCATCTATCGAACAATGTCTGTAACATGGTGATAAAATCTTCGACAAATAATTCAAATAATACATCATCCAATTGATTTAAATCGTTTGATTGTTCGTTATGATCGGCTATCGATTGATGATGATGGTAACGAAAATCTTCGATAACTTTTTTACGAAATTCGTTAAAAATCGTACAAGTCATTAAGTCAATTTTTAGTATATTATGGTATATATTCAGGCAGCAAAAAACGATTGCCTTACACACACACAACATATAAATAATGATAATGTGCTATCAGCAAGCAATAAACGAAGAATTTTTTTTCTCAGGCTAAATATACACAGCCATCATTGAATCATGTTAGTTGCTCACATTGTTGTTTGTGTCTGTTGTTTACGAATTGACATAATAATCACGTGTTTAATGTGTTTCTTTTTTGGTGAAAATAGCAAATGAGCTTCGTTTTCAATCATGGCGGATCGTCAATTTTAACAAAACGCACACATACTAACGGCCATTTTATTTTTTTTTCTGTTTTTGTTTTTGTTTTCACTATATTTTGAAAATAATGGCAAAAGAATCATTACCTTTACAAATGATGGAAATTGATCATCCTGATCCTATTCGAGGTAGGAATTTTTTTTTTCTAAATTTTTTTTTTCTAAATTTTTTTTTGTTTAAAAAATATTCTAAACCATTTCATAACCATTCTAATTAGATGGCTGGCAACGATGTTTATATTGTCATAAAATTGGCATCAAAGATAGTTTTTATGGCAAAAATAAAGACTGTTGTTCAAATGAATGTCTTAAAAATTATCAGAATTTTATCGATGATAATCGACGATCTTCCAACGTCGCTACGACTACTACTATGACCACTACAACCAATTCTAATTCATTATTGGCCGGCGCTCCAAATGATCCACAAGTTTTTCAACGAAGATTTACTAAAGTAATGCCAATACAGAAAAATATTAACACAATATTGAAAATGAAAAATGCCCAGGCAAGAAAAACTAAATTATCACCATTAGATACTGATCTGGATGAGAATACATTTATTCCATTGCAAACAATGATTGAATGTGGAATGTTTCATCAAGTGAATTCATTACATATGGCTTTTGAACTACATTTATTTGCTCCAGTTAGAGCATTCAAGCATACACCTATGAATGATTGTTGGGATGATCTATTCAAAAATCGTGTCGTTGTTGATGTTCGTCAACCATATCGTGATCAATTTTGGCGTGCTGAATTGGTTACAAGTTTTGGATATTTTCTCAAATGTCGTTATCTTGGCCCGGGTCCTGGTCAGGGCAATTCCTTTTTTTTGGCAAATCCTCGTACACGAAAATTATTGCCAATCATTGAACGTAATGCCGACGGTAGACTGATCAAACGACAATATGTTCAACCGAACTTTATGCGTTTAGCTACGATTGATCATATTTTTCAGCTTTCAAAAAATGTCACTACTTTAGATAAAAATCTTCATGAATCATTCGAAGATTGTATCTTATCAAATCAATATGATATGAATCTTTTCTACGAAACAATCGATCCAATGGATGCATCCAGATTTCTAATCTGTAAAATTATCTCTCGTTTTGGTGATTGGCTATTGGTTCATTATGAATATCCTGATAGTGATTTTCGTCATTCAAAAACGGTTTGGGTTCATCCAAAAATTGGATTTTTTCGTACACTCGGATGGTCACAATTGGTTGGCTATCCTGTTTATGCTCCCAATACTTATATTTCCTTATCATTATATACATTAACTAAATATGAATCACTTATTGATGAATATCTGGTCAAATCTGGCCTGTTTCCATTTGAACCAAATTCACAGAATAATTTTCAAAATGGTATGTGTGTTTTATGTTTTAGTTATAGTTTAATTTTCTATTAATTGAAATGTTTTTTTTGAAAAAATACTAGGAAGTTATTTAGAATTATTGGATCCATTTAGTCATCGAATGAAAATCGCTATGGTTGTAAGAAAATTACGATTCGGTTTCATTGTACTGGAATTTGAAGATCAATCATTAATTAATCCTGAAAAATTAACACAATTAGTTCAACATGTTACATCACCTTTATTATTTCCAATCGGTTTCTGTCATCGAAATAGCATACCTCTTTATGTTTCTAATGGTAAATATCAACTCTTTTTTTTTCACGATCAATGTTTATAATAACTAATTTTTTAAAATCCATTTTATTAGAGATAAGATTTAATCCTAAAATGACGAATCTTGCACAAAAAATGGCAAACAAAGCGGCTCAACCGATATGTTTTCCACTCTTAAATAATAATAATAATGTTTTCAAACAAGGTATGATTTTGGAAACATTCAACATGGTTGGAAAAGGTATCATTAGCTATGCAATGATTGATCGTGTGGTGGATCGATTGATTTCATTACGATTCATCAATCAAGAACCAAGTTTTCAAATGTGGGCTGAATACACTAGCCCTCACATTCGTCCCTTCGGTTTTACACACATGTTGGAAATAGATTTCAAATCACCTGCAGTCGCTCTTCATATTGATAATATCAAATTCGGTTTGTATACTGTTATAATTGATAATCATTTCTTATTTTACCAAAATTGATTTTCCATTTATTATATTAGCCGATCTTCATACCAAAATCAATAACTTCAAAACATCTCTTCGAGATTATATAAGATCGATGAATCCACAGCTAATACGAGAAGTTAGTCTTGTTAATAATAAAAATACAATATCGACAACAATGAGATCTACATCGATCCCATCCGCTTCATTGTGTTCAACGGCCAAAACCTCCACCGCATCTTCAACACCAATAATGACATATACAAATCCAAATTCTCATCAAATTGTTTATAAAGTTCATGGTACTGATTTTGGTCGTTTTGGCAATATGATTATACGTACAGCTCCTGAAAATAAACGTGGGAATTATGTACATTTTCCAAGTATTAAAATTGATACAACCAAAACTATTCCAGAAAATTATCCAAACAGATCTAGACAATCATTGGCAAAAATATTTTCACGTGATCCAGTTTCAACAAATAATAATGATAATGATTCAGCAACAACCATAAATGGTGATAATCAAAATAATAATCAAGAAAATGTTGAAGAAATATCATCAGTTAAAAAAGTAAAATATGATTATTCTGATCTAAAGAAAAAAGAGAATTTTGGTTATAATATCGATGAAGATATTACCGAAGGTATTAGTAAACAAAAATTATTCTTAGAATTTAAAGAAAAAATTTTTAAATTAGCCGAAATACGTAAACCTAATCTGGATGGTTTAAGTGAAAAACCACTAGAATGGACTGCCGAAGATGTTCAATTTTTCATGAAAAATAATCTAACCGATTTTGAGGATTTTAAATTTAATTCATCATTGGTAAGTGATTTTAATATAAATGGATGAAAACAAAACTTTTTATTTATAAACAAAAAAAAATTTTTTTTCCCCACAATAAATAATAAAAATAGGATATTAATGGAAGAAAATTTCTTCAAATGGATCACAATGAATTTAATGAATCATTATTGGAATCATCAATGTCATCGGCTATTCAGTTACACATACTAAAAGTTGGCCTTATCGAACATTTTAAATTGGATTTGAATGAAATTTTTCAAAATTAATTCAAATTTAAAATAAAAAAAAACATAATAATAATAAAGTATTATGGTGTGTGATAGAATTGTATATTATTTTTTTTTTATTTTGTTTCATCTTTATCTTGTTTCACATTTTTTTTTTTTTTTTGGACATTCAAGTAAATAAATAACATTTACTAAATACAAAACTCATGTAATGTTTACAATCATATACCATATTATGTATGTATATATATATTATATATTGTGAATGATGATGATGATGATTATTGTTATTTTTATCCATAAATAAAATAAACAATTTTGAAAAATTATGGACAACAAAATTAAACTGTTTTATTTATTCGTGATTTGAAATCATCAACAATCACCAGCAGCAGCAGCAACAACAACAACAACAACAAAAACATATATTCAAAATTAATCGTATTCGTGAATATATTCGTATACTACCAGTTGTCTTGTACTAAAAAAAAAACACAAGCTAAAAATTATGTATTTATGCAAAATCGAATGAAAATGGTTTGAAAATGAAAAATATGATGATTAGGTTAATTGACGTTTATTTTTTTTTCTCTTTCATTCATTCATTCATTCATTCGATGATGATGATGATGTCATGTCTGATTTTATATTTGCGTATTCGCGTAAAAAAAAAAATCTTTTTCATTTTATAAATATACACCTACTACTACTACTATGTGCTGATAATGAAGTTAATCAAATATATATTTTGTGAGTTGTGATTGTCAAAAATCCAAAAAAAAAAAATTTTTTTATTTTTTAAATCGACCTTATTTTCAAAAGTTCATTCATTCACATTCCCAATTCCTACGACAGCATAGCAAAATGATTATGATGAGCTTGTTTGTGCGAATTGTTGTATTGATCATTCAATTCATGATGATGATGATGATGTGATTGGTGATGATTGGATTTGTTAATTTTTTTTCATTTCATTTTATTTCATTTCATCTGGATGAAAGAAAAACAAAAAAAAAAAATTTTCAACACAAACTTTTCTATAATGATGATGATGACTTGATTCAACTTTGGTGTTTGTATGTGTGTGTGTGTGTGTATACAAAAACCTGTTTGTTTTTCTTTTGTAATTTAATTTTTTTTTCTTTCTTTCCATCATTCAATATTTTGCCTTCCATAATCAATAATCAATAAAAATAATTTGTTCCGTTTGTTTGTTGATTATGATTGAAATCGGAAGCAACAAGTGTCAATATTTATAGCCAAGTATATATGTCCATTTCGATCCATCGAATGATTTTTTTTTGTTTTGTTTTGTTTGTGGCGAAAATCAAAAAATAAAAAATTTTGTTGTTTTGTTGACATAAATTCATCATCATCATCATACAATCTAATCGGTCAAACAAAACAAGTGTAAATATAGCCTGAATCGAAATTGATATTAATTATTAGAAACAAAAAAAAAATTTACTTTATTTTTTTTTCGTGGTAAAAATATTCATTAATTTCTTATCTATTTATGTTATCAAAATCAAGAAATGAAAAAAAGAAGAAAAAAAATATCCATATTTGTTAATGTTGCTGGTGCTTGATGATGATGATGATGTTATCATCATACAAGGATTAAATAGATCCTTGTTGTTGATGGTCGTGGTGTTCAATAATCAACTCAAAGTCATTAATTTATTTTTTTTTTTTTTTTTGCTTCTGCTATGTCTCTTCATTCATCTCATTCGGTAATCATTATCCATCTATCGATACGAATATTTTCGATTATCTTTGATCATATCAATTCACGATGCTGATGCTGCTGCTGATGATGATGATGATGATGATCAATTAATGGTGGTCAAAATAAAATGCATGGAAAATGGAATATGATTAATCTTACGGGAGATTCTTAACGAAAATTAAGGAAAATTTATGAAAAACATTAATGAACGATTTTAATTTGAATATATATATTGTACATCACAATCTACACTCAAGAAAAAAAAATTGCCATTTCAAAATTTTCATTTGCGTCCAAAATTTTTTTTTTTTTTTTTTTTATTTTATAATAAAAAAAACCACAATGATGATGATGATCATAATTTGTTTTCGGTGAAATGAAATAAATTTGTCAAGTCAAGAAAAAGTTTCTTCACGCACACACACACATTCCATATCCGCTTTATGGTTTTGAGTGATCAAAAAAAAAAAAAAAACAACAACAACAACAACCAATTTTCAATGTAAAATGTATGTCGAGTGTTTTAAATTTTTTTTTTCCATTTCGTTATTATTATTTACTCCTGTTCTACTTTGTATGCAAAAAAAAACAGTAAACGAAATTGATGTTGATGATGATGATGATGATGATGATAATGACAAGATTTTAACCTGGAATGTATTCTATATTAGCATCCTTTCCTGAAAAGATCATCATCATCATCATCATCATCAACAACAACAATAAAATATAATTGCAACGCGATGCATTTTTTTTTTCTTTATGTTGCTCTGTTTTCTCTCTCTCCTTTTATCGGTTCGACGCCACTGATTTATGCCATTGAAGAAAATTGGCAAATGTTGTGTTAAAAGAGTTGTTGTGTTTAATATGAATGAATTTTTTTTTCCCCCGGATGATGGTGGTGAATGAATGAATGAATGAATGGATCATCATTTCATTTCATTTCAATTGCAAAAGATTGATAAATTTAGTAGATTTATGGCAAATGTTTACTTGAAATGAAAATTGTGTGTGTGTGGATAAAACAATGGGAATAATAAAATAATCGAGAATCAAAAAAGAAAAATCTTGGCTTTGCGTTTACTTGATGGAATTTTTTTTTTTTTGTTTTGTTTTCTAGGCAAATAATTGGCATTTTTTCATTTTGTATTTCTATTCATTCCTGGTGATGTTTTTTTTTCAGTCATCAATTTGATTCCGAATGATTGTTGTGTGTGTGTGTGTGCGTCTGTCGATTGATCTAATATCCTATTGGAAACATCAAATCGTTTGATAACGATAGATTGTAATAAATCCATAAATCCATAACCATTCATATCGATCGAGATATTATTATTATTATTATTGTTTCTAAACAAATCAAATCAAATTAACAAAAATCCACAATACACGCTCGTTAATTGGATAATATTTTTATATGTTCAAAAATTTTGCAACAATCGACAACAACAACAACAACAACAACAATCGACAACAATCTTCATCATCAATGAATTGTTGTTTTTCTTGGTAAGAAACCATTTTTCCATTTTTTTATAGTTTCTTTACCATGTTCATCATGTTACAAATAATAATAATAACGATGATTTCAAAATAGAATGAGTATAAAACAGAGAATGAGATGAAGAGATGCCCAGTGATTGCAAATAAATACGCTACTGTTGTATTCGTAAATGGTGAATTAATTACATTTTTTTTCTTTTTGCATTGGCTACCAGAAAAAAGATGCTAATTTTAGTGGGGAAAAAAATGAAAAGAAAAGAGTCAGATTTTATATATTATCCTTTCTATTTATACTGTGTGTGTGTGTGTGTGTTTGTAAAAAACGCAAATCTGTATGATTAGTTTGTTGGATAAGTAAGCAAAAAAAAGAAACGATAATTTATTAACCCAAATAATAATAAAATACAAAAAAAACTTGAAAAATCTACTAGAGATGTGTAACGAAAAAAAAAATCAGTTTTTATTTTTTTTTGGTGATGAATTCTCTTCTAGTTGTTCCATTATTATCATCATCATCATGAATGTGTTTATTTGATTGCAAGATCAAGGCTTTGTTGTGAATCAAATAATTTGAACGGATGTCATGATTGCTGCTGTTGTTGTTGTTGTTGTTATCGATGATGATCATGATCATGATAAATTCTCACCTGTCGTGTAAAATTAATTGATTTTTTACGGCAAATATTATATTGATAGGTGAAAGAGTTTGAAAAGGAAATGGAGAAAATTTCCATCAATTTTCAAGGTTTTTTTTTAATGTAGGAAATTTTTTTTCTTTTCTTTTTCAAACAAAGTTGTATTCACAAAGATCTAGCTACCATTCATTCATTAGTGGTAGAAGCACATTCAACAATTAAATGAACAAGTCAAATATTAATCAATTATTTCTTTTTTTGGACCACCGTTAGTTTTGACCTGTGCTTCTTCTTCTTCCACTTACTTGTATACAAAACAATTGCTCGAATTTTTCACATTTAAGAAAAACTATTGTTATTTTATTTTTTTTTTATTTATTTTTTTTTTTTTTTTTTTGGTGGGGGTCCTGAATAAACGAATTTCATTTGTTGATGATTTTCAGCAAAAAAAATTCAGATATTTCCGATTTGATCACAACATTTGAATCAACATTATCAACAACAACAACAACAATTGAAACGAAGATTGGCATCGATTCAAATTCTTTCAATCATTTTTGTTGGCGATTGTGGTGGTGGTGGTTGTTGTTATCATATCATCATTTCAATGCTATCATCATCATCATCATCATCCTAAGCATCGTAGTAGTTACTGAATTTATTATAATCAAACCAATTCGGTTATTATCATCATCATCATCAACATTAACATCATCAATCGACTGTTATCAACACTCAAATAACTGTTCCTCTCCATTTTGGCAGCCGCAGTCGTTTTTATTATTGGAAAACTGGATTTTTTCGATTGCTACATTTATACTATCCATCCCGTTTTTAGTGGTAGAGGCAAAATCTTATGCCGCCATCACTGCTGCTGCTGCTGCTGCTGCTGCTGTTTCTGCTGTTTCTGCCGGCAATCCAACGGACGCCATCAACATTGAAGATCAGACGCCGCCATTTGCTAGTTTATCGTCATTCGTGTTTGATCCTCATTCAAAATTGTATCCAAACATCAGCATTCAACAACAAAAAGTGGTGGATTGTTTAATTTCATTCGATTCAGCAACAAAATTCATCGATCATCATAGTGATTTATTTAATATTTCTACATTCAGAATAGATCGTACATCGTATACAGGTTTAGCATTTTTTTTCAATCAATGTTTTCGAATCATTTTAAAATTTTTTGTTGTTTTACCTGCTAGATTTTGTCTGGATTCCTTGTGGCTGTACGTTTGATATAACCGGCATCGATCAACACCTACCAACGAATGATTCACAATCAATAATTGTCTTTACAGAATTGTTTCAATTTTCATTATTTTTTCTACTCATTCATCTAATATTATCGGACAAATTTTGGCATTGGTTTAGTACGAAAAAACATCGACAACAACAAGATCGACAAACAAACGAATTTCCGTTTTTGATTGAAAAAAAAGAGGTGGATAGCCAAGAACAAGAACAAGAAGTACATAATCCAATCGATTTATCATCATCATCACCAACGACGATTGATAATGTTTATTGTGTAAATAATCAACAACAAAATAATGATTGTGTTCTTATTGACCAAGTGATATCATCATCATCATCATTGTCACCAAATTCATTATTATCATTTAAAAGTAATGAAAATGATCCATTGATTTCAAATAATAATCATCCATTAATATTGCAACAACAACAACAATCACATTATCGATTCGATTATTTAAACAATAAAAATAGTGAACAACAAATCGATTATTGTTTGTATAATAACAACGATAATAATAATCAATATAAACAATCATCTAATTGTTTAATTGATAATAATAATAATTATTATAATAAAATGGTCGATATGATGCATCAAGGCCCATATATGATGAATAATAATACTTCACCACAAATGATGGGTGGTCCACAACCAGATGGTTATATGGAACAAGAAGAAGAATGGGAACGTGAAGGATTATTAGATCCAGCATGGGAAAAACAACAAAGAAAGGTTAGTACGAATAATTTGGCCATTGTTCTTTGTTTTGCCTACATGACTAGTCCAAATTTTTGAAACAATTTAGGTAGATCAGTAAGCATTTATCCATTTAATAGTTTCACTATTCTATATCTGTATATGATGTAAAGAATTATTCAGCATCATTCAATCTTTATCTCATTCTATACTCTATAATGCTTATATTGTTGTTCCAGGAATCTTTCTAGTTTCGAATATTGAGTTTGCGCCAATTGAATTACATTCATTCACTTACAGGATCATTGAACTAATTTTTTTCCGTTCTTTTCGGCATGGAATCATCATATTCCATATCGACAAAAAAATTTTTTTTTGTAAATCTTAACAATTTTCGCAAAGAAATTTTTTATCACAGAAAAAATGAGGAAAAAAATGAATTATGGTATTCACAGTTGTCAGCAAAAATTATCAAATTTCTTTTTTTGTCTTCTTGTTTTTCATCGTCATCATCACCATAATCATCATCAATTTACCGATTCGCCTAAATTCGGGTGCAAAACTATTTTGTTTTGTTGTTGTTGATCAAATAGGACAAAATAATGTTGAACTAAAAAGAATTGATGGAATGTATGCCAATGATTCTTGAGATTCTCTTTTTCTCTTCTCTTGCAATCTTTAACCCGTTTGATTGATGTGTATTGTGTGTGTGTGTTTGTCTGCCATATGATGTCAGAATTGTTTGATGATGTTTGAGGCGTTGTCTTTTTTTTCGTGTTCATTCAATCATTCATTCATTTTATGTTTGTAACAGTAGGCTTTTTTCATGTCGAAGAATTCTGTCAATGATGAAGAATTTGTTTTTTTAATACTTTATTTCACTCTTCAAATGAATGAATGGTGACGAATAAGTTATTTTGAATATTTTTTCCATTGTAGTTGTTGTTGTTGATGTTGATCGAGTTTCTAAAATTAGTTCTCAAAGGGATATTATTATTATTATTGAAAATAAATAGGAAAAATAAAAAAAAAGAGAACAAGAACATGATGATGATGAAAGAAACAAATGAAGTGTTGTGTGTGTGTGTGTGTTTGGGGTATGGTTATGTATTCAGTTAGTAAATATCCAAGTATGTCCTGCTCTGAATTATTATTATTTTTTTTTTTTTTGCCTTGACTTGAATTTCTTTTCCAAAGCATCATCAGTTGTATGTTTTGTTATTGTTGTTTTGATCGTATTCGGTTATGTGTGATTGGTGTATGTGTACAACACGATTATCATATTTTTTTTTTGTTTGTTTGTTTGTCTCGAAAGATTCTCGATAATCATCGATCATCATCGTTTCATAGATTATTTCGAAAAATAGATATTCAAAAAACAAATGAAATGTAGAGGATATATCCAATCGACGATTGTCATCACATTTGTCATTTTTTTTCCTCTTTTTTTTTTTTCAAGTTAATTTCGATCTATAGAGTACATTTTTATCCACGTTTTTCAAATAATATCTATCGATTTCCGATATCGATTATGGATATTCAATAAAATATCAACAAATATACAATGGATAGGATGTTATTATTATTATATGTCGATGAATAATGATATTTTCATGATTTGCTATTTTTAACAATGGAAAAATATGAAGAAAAACAAAGATCAAAAACATGATGACGATAATCGTGGCGGTAATGGAGGAAATCAGTTTTTTTTATTTTTGTTTTCGATTCGAGTAGTTTTTTTTCGTACGGAAATTTTTTTCTTCTTTTTTTCCGATTTCACAAATATTTAATTTGTAAAAAATACGACAACAGCAACCGTTTCTAAACTTTTTTTGTTTGTTCTTCCTTTCATGGAATTTAGTTATATTTATTAGTGGCGGATCTATCATTGGGCGCAGTGGGCGGTTGCCCAGGGCCCATGGAATGGTTGATCTGCCACTGGTTTTTTATCGTTATTATTATGACGATTTACAAATGTTTTAGATTCCTTTCTGGATGATGAAGAGAAAAAAAAGAGGGAAAACGGAGAAAACTCTAGAAATAACATCAAGAAATTCCTTTTAGTGAAACATTCAATCCGAAAAACAGAAAAAGATCATAATCTTATTCTTTGATGAATTGTATAGAACATAAAGGATTGTGTATGTGTATGTGTGTGTGTGTGTGTTTACCGTATGGAATGTATTGATGAATAAAAATAGAAACGATAATTTTTGAATTACGCACTTTACATTGAATAGCAAAAGAATTTCAGTGAAATTCTTGTTTTTCTCTTTCCATTCATCATCTACCGGTATATCAAATGCCATCGGTTGTCAACAACAACAGTTTTGTTCATTTTAAATTTTTTTTCCATTTTTTTCAAAATAAAAAATGAATGAATGACAATAAATGCCCATTTGGCATAAACATATAAAATATTTTTTTTTATTGTTGCAAATTCTTTGAAATTCAATGTCAATTTAAACTCCATAAATTTTTTGTTGATAATGAATACGAATACAGCAGGTACAAAGGTTAAGTTATCTAATACCAAATTACAAATGTTGTAGATTTCATCGGAAAGTGCTAATGATTTTTTTTCAGAAAAAAAAATTACTTATTGATAACAACCATATTCATTAATAATACAAGTAAATTGGATTTGTCATTTCATAATTGATTCATAATTAATCTTTTGATTTTCATTCAATGATGATTTAGAAATCATTATTCTCATCATTTCATTTGACTTGATGATAAATTACATTGAATTGATTATTTTATCATTATTATGATTAAATAATGCGAATGTTTCGAGGTTATAATAATAATTTGATCAAATTCAAATTCTATAATCAACTATTAAATAGACTATAGATATGTGGCTTCTTGTTATCATTATCATTTATCATTTATAGATTAGATCATCATGTCTACATGATAGCACAGCATTTTTTCCCATGTACAATTAAAAAAATGTTTTGGTGTTAATTACAAATGATCAGTCTAGACATGTCTGTTCTTATTGAACCTAGTCAAATACCGATGATGATGATGATGATGATGGATATATGTATGTTGTTCATGTAACACTTGTTTGTTGCTTTTTCTTGACACATTCATTTTATGAAATTTTCCATTTACATTTTAATTTGATTGAATTTAAAAATTTAGAAAAAAAATTTTAATTTTTATACATCCATGATGATGGTGTGCAATATTGTTGTTGTTGTTAGGCTAAAATACTTATTGCTTGTTGATTGGTCTTGGTGATGATTTAGCCTTCACACACACACACACTTGAACTTTCTCCCAAGTAAAAAAAAGCCGAGGATCGGAAAAGTAAAAAAAAAAATCCGATGACCGATGATAATCACAGTGACAATTTTTTTTTCTCTTTTTGCTAAAGATGATGATGACCACATGACCACGATCGTTGGACATCGAATGTTGATCCAATTTTTTTTTTTTATCGTTACGGCTATCCATTCGAATTTTTTTTTAAACCTGGAGGGAAAGATTATTATTTCCAACAAAAAAGAAAAAAGAAATACTTGTTGCTGAAATGTTTCTGTCATCATCATCGCGGTCATCGTCATCGTTGATGACCACATTTCATGATTACTTGATGATTATCGATTTGTTTCCATATTATTTTTTGAAATAGTTCCGCTTTATATGTTTGTGTTTATGGTAACATTCATATATCCTGTTGAAACATATCTGGAAATACAAATTTCTTTGTAGCCTAGTCTATTTTATATTCATAAATAACCATATAATCGCTTATTTGATTGTTTTTTCTATAATCCACTTTTTTGTTAGACGCACCCGTTTTTTGTATATTGTTCGAATCAGTTTGTCCCTTTTTAATCATCATTGTTTTTTTTGGAGATTTTAATCCAACGATTTGTTCGATAAGATAATCACTTAAATTGTTTATACTATTTGATAGAGAAAAAAAATTGTAATAAACAATAGAAAATCAACTATAGTTGATTGATTCCGGTTAGAATTGTTGAATGTCATCAAATCATTCAATTTAATCACTTTATAAATTGGTAGGATTCAATTCACTTTGAGTTTGTTTTTTTTTATAATTTAACTGGCAAAATGCTATAGAATAAAATTACCATTTTAAATCATTCACATCATACTTGATGGATTTGAATTCTATATATATATATGATATTCCCACCGATGTTTGTAATTATTTATCCCGTTTTTTTTACTGGAAACCCAATATATTTGTTCCTGTGTGTGTGTGTGTGTTGATGATGATTGATTTCAAAAAAAATTTTATTCTGTTTTTTATAGTGTTTATGGTTCAGAGATTGACATTCCTTTTACATTAGCTACATATCATCGATGGCCATTACATTGAAAGAAAATATAATTTGTCATCAAGATAAGAAAGAAAAAGAAAATTGTAATTTCATCCACTTGTCATCAGGTAACAACAACAACATCGACAACAACGGCAACAACAAAAAATCATAAATGCATTACAATTTACTTGTTGATTACGATTGTCATAATAAATAAATTTAAATTTTCATTTGTTTGTCAAATGAACGTTGAAAAAAAACCACGGAAATTATGCAGCTCAGGTGTGAAATTAGAAAATTTTCCATATGTGTGTTCTACAACACCAACAACACACACACACACACACACACACGCGTACATTGATGATGGATAATGATTTTATATATAGATTTTAAATTTCAATTGTTTTTTCTATTTGTTGTTGTTGTTGTTGTTGTTGCTGTTATTTAAAATTGGATTATAATATCATTTTCATGATGATGTATACTGTATATTATCCTATCCAATGGATTGTGAAATTATTATCTTTTTCAATGCCAGTTTGTATCTGGATATATCTTGGTGGTTGCATTAATTCTCTTTTTTGGGTTGTTTTTTCTTTATCTGGTCATGTAGTGATAGCAGCAGCCAGTAAAAAATTAGATTCAATGATGATGATGATGATGGATGGAAAAAACACAGAAAGAAATTCATTCACATTTGATGGTGAATAATAATGATAA